CTGTCTTTCTTGGAAGGCTGAAAATGAGGGACAGATAGATCTTAACAGAAAACCCAACCCTCTTGAAAAAGCATTGCCTTCCCCCAGTTTCTCCAAACCAGGGGTACACCAGCATTTCTTTTGCACCTCTCCCCAAAGGAAGTGGGGAACCTTTCGTGTTTTTTCAGAATTTGGGGTATAAAATCTTAAAGCATTTGATTTGGCACTTTTAAAACAACCATTAAAAAAACCCAAATCCTTTAGCATGCTGCACAGTTTCTATGACTTTGAAGCTAGAAAAACTGGGAGGCAAATACCTAAAACCAAGAAAAGAAAGAGGGAAATATGTCAAGTACTAGCAATTTGTTTTACTACAAGAATGCCCAGTACATTTCAAACAAGAACCTTTGTCAAGGGCCCTACATACTCTTTTTTTTTTTCATGGCTCTTGAACTTGCATATTTCTCACCTTGCATATATAGTAATTTATTTGCTCTTGAATTATGAGTTGGACTTTAAAATCACAGTAGTGGAAATAATATTTGAAAGTTTTAACATGTAATCACTGTTGCTTACATAGAATCTGCTTGGGTCAGATGGGTGGTTATATAAATTTGTTTATTAAATAAAAATTGGAAAGGGGGGGACATACATTTATTTTCTTCAGCTATTCATATTTGACCATTCTTTTTTCCCTCCCACCTCAGCTGATCAAAAATCCGTGGTCAAAACACCAAAGACTGTTCCAGATACTGAAGAAGATGAGGGCGCTCAGTGGAATTGTACAGCTTGTACTTTTTTAAATCACCCAGCCTTAAATCGTTGCGAACAGTGTGAGATGCCCAGGCATTTCTGAGCCAGGGAGGCTCGCTTATCTTCTGTAAACTATTGCTGGCTATTGTGTCATTTCCTTGGGATAAATAATCATGTATGCATAGGATTTTGTAAAATTGAACATGTGACAAGGTTTATTAGTAATGTTAAATGTCATGACACAGAGATAATACCTCAGTCTTGTGCTGCAGGCAGCTGGAAGTTCACCGGCTGGAAGGTGATCTCCTGAAAGAACTTGGTTGCCAGCTGCCTGACATGTACAGTATTACTAGATGCCCGTAAGAATAACTCTCACCAGGTTCAGTGCTTTGGTGTTCCCAACAGCCTTTCTCCACAGATGTCACTACTGAATTTTGACAGGGGAAGGAATTAGATTCATAGCTTTTTTTGTTTTTGTAAAGCTTTCAGTAAAACACTACATTCACAGAAGAAATGAAAAAGGAACAAATTGAAACTATTTGCTGCCACAGAGGGCCCAGGAATTATAGAAGAATTTCAGAAATGTAGAGGTACTCTTCATCTTGTCTTCTGGAAAGCAGTTCCACATTGTGAAGACAAAAAAAAATCCATCCAATCATCTGAAGATGAAAAAAGAAAACTGCATGCTCTGTCTGTACCATAGTCTCCGTGAAATACCCCCAAGGCTTTTCCTACTGTACATAGTTCTAGAATCTTCTTTAAATGACTTTTCTTCACCTTTTATTATTTCTTGTATTTCTTAATGTATAGTGTAATAGTTGTTGTTAACTTTCTTTCCCCCTTTAAGTGATTATGCACGATTGTGATCCCTTTGTGTTAAAAAAAAAAAGTTTTTGATCTGAGAGAAGCCGTGCCTTAAAACAGCGTTCTTGACAATGCACAAACTAGCTCTTGTCTGCCTCTTCTGTATGTTGCTCTTGTAAATGCTGGTAATCTGTGAAGACCTGCAGATGCAGCCTGTAAAAATGCAGGAGACGTCTGTGCTTCTAGTTCACTCAGGACACTGATTTTTACGGTGGGTGACACCTGGCGTAATATTCTGCATGACAAACAAAAGCACAAGAGAAATTGAGTCCCACCCCCCAGCATACCTGCCTCTGATAGGCGTGCTTCATTTGCTGGGCATCTTTAAAACTCCCCAGAAATAAAAAATACTGGGACTGGGTGGGAGAGAAACATATTTGAGTACACAGAAATAGCAGAAAATATGAATATGCTCATTGTTGACAGCCAGTTCTTCAACCCGATTTGGTGGAAAATAGCAATAATTGGAATCATTTGAAAGAGAGCCTGGAAAATAGAAAACAAGCAGACTTGAAGCCATGCCAAGCATCTCTTCTTTTTTTTTTTCATGTCCTTGTTTATGAGGAAATCTATTCAGGTGATTAGAAAACTTTGAATTGAAACCAAGATCATGTTTTTTTTATTTTTATTTTGCTCTCCTGCATAAATGATATGTCATCTCTCTGAATGAGGTGAGAAGAAGCAATGAACAGCAAAACTGTATTATGTATCTGCTCAGAATTAAGTGCCGTTATGTTCAGTGAGACTTACTCCAAGGTAAGTGGATATACTATTGCAGCCTAAATGTAGCGAGAGACAAAGTAGACTGTCACCCACTGTAAACATTTGCCGGTGGACATCTTTAACAGCAATTTTACAAGTGGTTTATGAAAATATACAGACGCCTTTGTTTTAAAGGCTTTGCATTTTTTTAAACATGGGAATTAAATTAGTATCCCAAGTAATCAGTAAATCCAAAGTCCTTGAATTGAATGCATTATGTTATTAAAAAAAGTGTTCTTTTTCAGCTTCATCTGCAGTTGTGAAGATTGATAAATGAATTTTTACCTGTTTTATTAATAAAACATAATTTGGATATCTTGAGTTGATGGTTTTGTGATTTAGGTGGGTTAACTGTCTTTGTAACAGATAAGTTATTTATAAAAATTAAAAAAATATATTGTAACATCTGTTTTGTGTCTTTTTAACTGGAGATAACATGGTTTGCTGTAGATCTTCCTTAAATAATTGGTCAGTGCATGTCAGTCAATACATGATGATTCTGATTTCAAATTCAGTCCCTGAAGGCTCTTTTTTAGGTCTAAAATCCAGAGCATAATTGCAAAATTAACCCTTGTTCAAATGTTACCACAGATACTTTTTAAGAAAATAATCTGGTATCTTATATTTACAGTTACTAAGATGTAACTTTAGTAAGCGTTCTGGCACAATCTTTAATGCTTATTTTTATCTTTTATATATTAATATAGGTAGTTCTCAACTTACAACCATTCATTTAACAATGATTCAAAGTTGTTGAATCATCAGAAAAAGCATTTTACAACCTGTCCTTGCACTTACGATCATCATAACACTTCTGTGGTCACATGATTACAATTCATGGTCTTGGCAATCTGCTCACTTGCAACCAGTTGCAGCATCCTGCAGTTACATAATCACAATTTGTTACTTTCTCAACCAGTTTCTGACTAGCAAACTAAATTTTCTTAAATTAAAACTGCAAGGTTTGCTTGTCAACCATGTAATTCGCTTAATGACTGCAATAAAATTGGGTTTGGTGCCATGATAACCGACTTTACAACTGCACCAACTTATTGTGGAAATTCTGGTCCCAATTGTTACTTGTATGGAAGTTATAAATGAATCACTTCCTTTGGTTAGTAAATCCTTATAAGAATCAGCACTGCCTGGGATAATGACAAATATAGAGAATTATAGAATGAAATTTCAAAATGAGCATTTTTGTCATAGGGAATATAAGAGCTCATGGACTCAGCCAATGATACTTTGCATTTTTCTATTATTTATGCAGTTGGTGTCACTTTCCAATAGTGGGTAAGTTTCTGTTAATAACTATCAGGCTCCATTAAGTCATAAGCCAAGAACCACCTGTAAGATACAGGATCTAGAACTTGGGTGTAGGGTAGTACACCTTTTTCTAACAGCAGGGGGAAGAAATATGGCATGAAAAGAAAGGATCTACTGTAATATTTTCCTCTTTGATGTACCTTGCCCCTTGACTAGCAATCTAAACCACCACCCCACCAATACATTAGCATTCCCTTATATATCATAACTTGTTTTATTTGACAAAAGAGATACACTAGAAGTAATTGTGTCAATTATTTTTATTTAAAAGAGCTGTCCTTCACTTTTCCACAAATAGGTCCTCATGGTAGCTTCCATACTTATTTTGAATTCAAAAATAATATATCAATATAATTTGTGCAATACTTCCACAAGCAGACAATAGGTAAATTGGGAAGCAGTTGCAGAATAAGCCATTAACATACATTATATTCCATCCACAGCTTCAGCAATATGAGGAAAAGTTAATTGGTGCTTTCAAAAACATGTTATCAAGTAAAAAGATGTGGGAGAATATAGTATCACCATTGTTCCTAGCTGTTTATATTTGCCTCAGCACTGTGAACTAATCTTAAAAACATCACAGAAACCTGTGAAGGTTTTTTTAAAACATTGAAATATATCAAAATGGAGGTTTTTGGATAACAATCCAGGTATCTCCCTGTACTAGTTCAGCTGCAATTTCTGAAAATACCATATTCAAGGATAGTTTAGTAAATAACAAACTAAACCAGTCTGAGGAAAGTAGTATTTGTCCAGGATGGGTTTCAATTAATATACCAGCCAAAAAGTGGAGGAGGCGTAGACTTGAACATATAGGCCATCTGAAGGCTTATTTTTCTCTGTTGGCTATTAAGAAAAGGAGGTATAAATGTCTGTATTCATAAGCCTAATACTTGGGAGTCCAACTAGTCATAATGACTGAAAATATATCCTTTGGTGACTGGGAGAACACTGTTGTCATTTGTACCTTTGCCTTTCTACTACAAGACTAGCATGTCAGAGCAGCTGGCAGTCCTTACTGAACTTGGCTGTTCTCTTAAGGACTCAGCAATAACAGCCCTGGATGGGAAACCACCAGGAAATCTCAGATCTGTTAGAAAAACATCCTGGAAAAAGGCAATTGAAAATAACTCGTATTTTTATTGTATTGTTGCCAAGAAAACTACACATAGGATAGTCCAGTAAATAACAAACTAAACTTACTGTACATGGTCATATCTAAATAGCCACTAGAGTTTGACTTAAGCCTAGAATACCTTTGTTAAACAGAAACCTTACCAAACATTGAAAAAAAAAAAACCACTTTGCTCGTGGTTTGATAAAAGAATAAATTGTTGGGGAATGTTTAAATACGGTAGAAACATATGAAGCTAAAGCCATCTAAGAGGATGTTTGTGGGAAGTGCATATAGGAAGGATCCAAATAAGAATATAAATTGGCTTAACGGATTGAAACTTTGGATGTTTTTGAGGATGGCAAAATAGGACAGATGTTTGAAACCAGAAAAACATAAATTTTGTGTGTGCTTGTGTGTGTGTGTATTGATTTACTGAAGTTGAATGTACCTTGTGTAAAGAAGACATGAGAAAACCTTTACCACGGTTTCCTATTAGGGAACCTACTATGCAGATTCCCATGCTTCCTAGCTAATGGTATAAAATTTCTCATTATGTCTGTGTTGGATGACATTAAGGCTTGGTTTTCCTGAAAATATGGGAACCTTAGGGGTTGCTGGACATTTGCTTGCTCTTGAGAAAATGGAGTTTGAGCCAAATTCTGCTGAGACTCCACACCAGAAGGACAACTGTGCCTTATGAGTGAGTTGGAATTTAACAAAAATAGTTGGTCATAAGGTCTGGCTTGCAAATGTCCAATGTGACCCATCTCCCCATACTTGCTATATAAAAATACCTCTGCTGAAGAATCTATAGAATCCTGTTCTTCCTTTGAGTTCTGTCTTGCTAAAAAGGAAGGTGCTTGTAAGGCTTGTATTGCTGATGCCTGTTTTCTACAACATCCCTGGATGTTACACATTTCTAAACATGGACAGTCCAGGCACCGGTTATGATGAGACAAAAGTGGACCCTGGCTGTACCTGAGATAATGGCCCCTAGAAGGCTCACCTACTAAGGCTTCATATTTTACAGATCCTCCAAGTGTATTTCCAGAATAAGTCCTGGCAGTTAGAGAAGATGCTGTGAATTGTTCAGATACCGTTGCTGCATGTGCAGTTTGACCATGTTGTAATAAAGTTAATGGGACCTGATGGCTGTCCTGATACATGTTTATCCAATTGTTAGCTGAATCCACCTGGTACTCTCCTATCTGTTGTGGGATACTAGTGTGAACTACTTCTGAGCTGAATGCTGTGCTGCTCCTGTTAATAGCACTTTTATGAGTATATAGAGATGATGGATGTCCACTCTTCGTGAGGTCTTCAGTCTTCTGACTGGATGAGTAGGTTTTTGCTTTGACCCGGAGTTCATCAGCTACAGAGAGATAGTCCCAGTTCAGTCTTTCTGGGTGATAAAATTTGCATTTGATGCCATATGTGCATTTTTTGCCTGTGGAAAGTAAAATGACTAGATAATTGGCTGGTATCAGTAGGCATGGAAGCAGATTGGAGCATCTTATACTTTTTAATTTTGTAAAAATAATCTTTCGTATACAGGTAGTCCTTGACTTACAACCATTTGTTTAGTGATCATTTGAAATTACAGCTGGACTGGAAAAAGCTGACCCTCTCACAACCATCACAACATGCCTGTGGTCACATGATCAGATTTCAGGTGCTTGAAAACTGGCTTATAGTTTAGTTACCACAGTGGCAGAATTCCTGGTTCACCTGATTACCGTCCGCAACCTTTGCACCTGTCTTCCATTAAGCAAAAGCAATGAGGGAAGCTAGATTTACATAATAAATGGAGTGATTTGCTTAACAACTGTGGCCAAAAGGTCATAAAATTGGGTGCAACTCACTTAACAACTGCCTTGTTTAACAATGGAAATTCTGGCCCCAATTGTGGGCCACACATCAAGGATTACAGCACTTTGATTTTATACAAATACTGAAATAATATTGAGAATTTTTCATACAGTTTTGGGGAAGATACATTTCTGAATGTCTGGAGAATATAATTTTGCCACTGAAGAAGCAAAACACGCCGTCTATTCCTGTTAGTGCCGTAATAGCAAGTTTCTCTTATATAAGATTTTAATTGATGATAGGCAGCACATATACTAAAATTGGAACAATACAGAGGTGATAGATGAAAGAATGTATACAGAGTGGGGCAGGGATATATATTTTTGCACTGTTTTATTAATTTTCACTGTGCAAAAGGGAGCGCAATGCACTGAAGTCTGAAATTCTACTACCATAATATTCCTTATATCCTTGCATTTGCATGAAGCATATAAAAATGCCTTGCCTAATAATTTCTATAACCAAATTCCTACCTCCATATGGTGACGTTTACTGCATAGAAGAAAAAATGAAACTGGGGATAATTTTAAGATTTTCTTGAGAGGTTCACTTGGAGTCTTCCTGGGAATTTCTGGAGGTGTGCATAAAATGAAAAATGTTTTTTTGTTTCCTGCAAAAAACATTGTTTAGCCAAACCATTCTGGATGGGTTATGGTTTGGTTTGGCCAAACTGAAATCTGGAACATTTGGGTTTTTCTGTGTCTGTAATGTCAGATAAGGTGGGTACTTGCTCTTTTGAAAGACGTGTGGGTTCCAGATGTAAATATCTGAATATGCAAATAATGTGCAAATTATCATTAACTATTGTTGAGAAAAGCCAGTGTTTTAGTCTTATTCTTTCTGCAACCAGTTTCATGGTAAATCTTGCAAACAAATGGACTGAGCATTGAACAAAACTTACCGTAAGGACAGAGCTGCCATTTTGATTCAGGGAAAAGAGGTTTTTTGCTTAGAAAATTGTCCAGAGAAGGTCCATATCGGCCCAAAGGATCATCAGGTGGCATGAATCTAAAAATAAATAACAGAAATTACTGAATCAACATTCTCATTATTTTCTGATACATGCTGAAGTTCACAACATATCTTTATATCTTTAAATATTCAAACCAATCTCCTCAGAAAAAAACACCTGCAAACATACATGCGAACTCTCAAATAAGTTTTGGATATTTATATATTTCTAAAGCCATCATAAAAGTTGCTCAGTGGCTAAGATGCTAAGCTTGTCAATCAGAAAGGTTGGCAGTTCAGCGGTTCGAATCCCTAGCAACATGTAACGGAGTGAGCTCCCATTACTTCTCCTAGCTTCGCCAACCTAGCAGTTCGAAAACATGTAAAAATGCAAGTAGAAAAATAGGGTCCACTTTGGTGGGAAGGTAACAGCGTTCCCTGCATCTTTGGTGTTTAGTCATGCCGGCCACATGTCTGTGCTAGCTGATCTCAAACAGTGGACCATTTATTTAAAGTTGCAAGCAGACTTTCCAGTTCTATCCTTTCCTTCTTGAGCTAATCTGTACATCTTCTGCAATCGGCTAGGTATCTTAGCTACATAATAATCCCAAAATTCAGAAGAGCTTTCTCTTTAACTAGATTCATTGCCCTCCCAAAATTATTTAAGGAAGATCTGAAGGATGATCCCCCTTTAAACAGAAACTGTCCATGCAGTGGAAGAATAATTGAAATGATGGAATACAATATTATGCATTGCCCTCTTGACGTTAAGTCCTTGACAGGAATTATTTCCATACCTAAATATCCAAGTTGTTTTGATTTGTTTTAAGTTCTTATTTTTAGATCAATCTGATTTTATTTCCTTGACCATATCCATGCATTGTTTTAAAGTTTGTACAGTACATCGTAATATTTACTCTTAATACTTTTTGGATATTTTACAGTGATTATGTTTTTCATTTTTTGTTCTAATTAATTGTGATTTTGTTCTTCATCTGCTGCTCTATGAGTGAAAAAAGATTGATTGATTGATTGATTGACATGCTCCTGCTTGCAAATTTTAAACTTTAAATCTTGCTCCTTGAAATCTGCACTTTGTAACCTTAGATCAGGGGTGTCAAACTCCATTTCATTGAGGGCCGCATCAAGGTTGTGTTTGACCTTGAGGGGCTGGAATGGGTGTGGCCAGGGTAGGCATATCACTCATGGCGGGGGTGCCTGTGGCGGCCTGAGTGTTATGCCAGTGAAAACGGGCTCCTGAGCTCTGTTTCCGGCCGCAATGGCCTCCTGCAACCCTCCTGCAGGCCAGATCTAAGAACCCCATGGGCTGGATCCGGCCCGTGAACCTTGTGTTTGATACCCATGAGCTAGATCTTGATGAAACCTTGTTTGCACATATACCAGGCTCTTACTTGTCATTGACGAAAGAATACATGAGCAGTCGCTGCTCAATGAACCATTTCCACTCAGGGTTTTCATTCTGCAGATCTCGAAAGTTGTCATTGGAAACAATGACCCCGTCTTGCTCATAGGCCAATTTAACAATGTAGCGATCATCATAGCACATCATTCTTTTGCCCTTTATTTTGCGGGATGGTGTGTAGATGAGAATTGCTTGCTTGGCCAAGCTTTCAAGGATATGTGGATCTAAAAGTAAAAATGGGGCAGGAAATGAACAAATACTACCACACATGCACACACATACAGAGAAGAGTTGCATGCAGAAGTGGAAGATGGGTTTCAAAATATCAGCTTTGCACAAGGAAACAAAAACAGCTTGCAGTGTTTTTCATTCAGAATACAGAATAATAGAGTTGGAAGGGTACCTTGCAGGTCTTCTTGTCCAACCCCCTGCTGATTGGTCAAGCTCATGTATTTATAAAACACCATTTTGGTGCCCATTTAATTTGAAATACATCTGAATGCTTCCCATTTAATTAGAATACGAACTGTCTGATTCATTGTGGTCTCCCAAACGTTCCTGAATAGAAATTCTAGCTAACCTGGCCAATGCTGAGAGATGCTAGAAGTTCAGCAACACTTGAAGGATCACACATTCCCTGTTTAAACATTGCTTGTTATGTTTATTTTATAAACTGACTCAATAAACTATCTGTTACATGCTCAAAATTGGCTTGGAATCTAGGATAACTGAACAACTGATTCTCACATCTGGGACCTGAGCAGCTAATACATTAAGTTGTCTGCCACTTCTCGGTACAGAAGTGCAGATATAGCTGAGGGTCATGAATATGGAAATTAAAAGGTAACTTGTCCACAAACAAGCACTTTAATGAGGGTAGTAAGTGAAATACTGCCTGGTAGAACAATCTCTTGAGAAAATTATGTAAAATTGTACTATAAACAGACAAATACTAGTAGAGCTTACAATAAGGAACATTGTACTATACTTCCTCTACAATGAAATATTTATAGCATATTCTAGATACGTTGTCTGATACAGGTAGTCCTCGACTGATGACTACAATTGAGTCCAAAATTTCTATTGCTAAGCAAGACAGTTGTTAAATTAAGTATGCCCCATTTTACGACCTTTCCTGCTACTGTTTTTAGGTGAATCCCTGCAGTTGTTAAGTTAGTCACATGGTTGTTACGTGAATCTGGCTTCCTCACTGACTTTGCTTGTCGGAAGGTTGCAAAATGTGATCCCATGACCCTGGGACACTGCAACTTTCATAAATACGAGTTAATTTCCAAGTGTCTGAATTTTGATCCCATGACCATGGGAAAGCTGTGATGATCATAAGTTTGAAAAACAGTCACAAGTCATTTTTTTCAGTGCCGTAACTTTGAACAGCCATTGAATGAACTGTTGTAGGTCAAGAACTGCCTATACTTTGAAGTACACTGTTATTTTGGGCTTCACAATAAAATGCATCTTATAAATAAGAGTTGTTAAATCTGTCTCTAACTTATGAGCATAAGTTGTCAGCTAATCGACTGATGTCAGAGTCTCTGATAGTCTGAATTCTAGGTATTACTGCTACTAGTGCAAAGGAAAAAGCATACTCTTGCTAGTTTTTTGAAGCTCTGGTTATTGGTAAAATAAACAAATAACCAAGCTAGCTGTTTCTTGGACAAAAATAAAAAGAACTTAAAGGTTGTTTAAATATTTGAAAACCAGTAGCTATAGCAAAACCGATTGGGAGTGGTTCTGGTTGTGTTTTCGGCCTTACGCTTTTGTACTTCCAAAGAAACAGTGTTCTGATAAATGTTTAATCTTATTGATTGCAATATGAATCATTTAACATATAACTGGGAACTAATACTTCATATTGAAAACCTGTTGGATCTGTTCATACCTGTAACGGGGGTATCAAATCGAGACTGTTCCTTTCTCCAAGATGGAACGAAAACTTTGATGTACTGGTGACCTCTTTGTTTGAACCAGTCTACCACCAACTGAATTCCTAAGCATGAAAATACTTCTTTGTTTCCATGACTGGAAAAAAGGAAAAGCGATTATTTTTGAATGTTACCAAGTTACAGTACTTTTTAATGGCTTCTGCCGTATATCATATACTGGATTTAAATGAGTTCTTGTGTCTGGCAGCTAACATTTCTGGCAAGTGGGAATGGCTTTTTTCCATTAAAAATGGATTTGTAGAATTTCATTCTATACTGAAAACCATTTCCTAGCTCAAAGTTTGTCTAGAAGTATTTAGAGAAGAGCAACCAGGATGATTAGGGGATTAGAGACTAAAAGATATGAAGAACGGTTACTAAAACTTATGAAGAATGGTTACAGGAACTGGGCATGGCTAGTCTAGTGAAGAGAAGGACCATTTTTTACATTTTACATTTTATTTGATTTGTCAGTCGCTTACAAGATACAGGTATAAGAATAAATATAGTTTTAAATACATGAGATAGATACTTATGAGAAAAACAAACAAACAATAGGACAGGGATGGTAGGCACGATTGGTGCGCTTATGCACGCCCCCTACAGGCCTCTTAGGAAGGGGGTGAGGTCAATAGTAGACAGTCTAAGGTTAAAGTTTTTGGGGTTTGGGGAAGAAACCACAGAGTTTCTTCCCCAAAGGACCAGGGGAGACATGATAGCAATCTTCCAATATTTGAGGGGCTGCCACAGAGAGGAAGGGGTCAAGCTATATTCTAAAGCACCTGTAGGCCAGACAAGGAATAATAGATGGAAACTGAACAAGGAGAGATTTAACTTGGAAATAAGGAGAAACTTTCTGACAGTGAGAACAATCAATCATTGGCATTGGAAGTTGTGGGAGCATCATCACTTGAGACTTTCAAGAAGAGATTGGACTGCCATTTGTCAGAAATGGTGTAGGGTCTCCCACTTGAGCAGGGGGTTCGACTAGATGATTTACAAGGTCCCTTCCAACTCTGATTGTCTGTTATCTATTAACTATTGTGTAATTTCATTTTTTTTCAGCTTTCTCAATTGAGTCAATTCTATATCTCTGTTCTTGCCATGTGAACATTAAACCTTCTGGAATCAGCCATCTATAATTCACCTCTTTTTAAAGTAGCAATTTGGTCAAGAATCGGTATTCTCTTCTCATCTCTCTCACTCTTCTGGGTACTTGTTTCAAGACTACAATCTCCTTATCTTTGTATTTCAATGTTTTCTCTCTTGCCACTTGCAATATTTGCATTTTAATGGCTTTCTTTGTAAATCTGACGTGAACTCTTGGTAAGCTATTTCTCATCGCATATCTTGTGAAGACTCGATAAACCTCATCTATTCCATCTTATCTTCAGTTATTTCCAAAGCTTCAGCCAATATTTCTATCATTATCTCAGCTAGATTTTGTCCTTTTTCTTTCTCTATGTTTTGGAATCTAAGATAAAATTCTGATCTGTCCATCTCCCATCTCAGCATCCCACTTTTATCTTGTTCAACCACAGTTAATCTATTATCAATGTCTCCAATCTTCTTGTCTCTTTGTTTATCTTCTTCTTCAATTTTTTGGAGTCTCTCATCATACTTCATCATCATTTGTTGGATGTTCTCCACTTTTTCATCGGTTTTCCCTGTTCGTTGTTCAATGTTCTCTATTCTCTTTTCAATATTCTCTGATCTTGTTTTAAGATCTTGGAATCCTTGCATAATCATCTGCAGGGTCACTTTTTCTTGTTCTTTTTCTTGCCTTAACATTGTCTGTATTGAACGTTGTCCTCCAGATGGTGGAAAGGAAGAAGTAGAAGTTGAAGAACTAGGAGCTGTTAATTTCCTACTCATTTTGAGCAATTCAAAATCTTCAGGTTCTTCTAAACCTTAATCCAATTGTGGAATAACCAATTGCAGTTCCAAATAAAAATAGTAGGAAAAAAGAAGCCAAATAGCAATAATAATAAAAAAGAAGAAAAAATTTCTTCAGGTTCTTGTATACCTTAATCCAATCGGTTAGTTAGATGGCAGTAAAAATTCAAAAATGAAGGAAAAGACTATAAACACACCATAAACACACACAAAAAAGAGAAAGTTGTAAAATCCTAAAAGAGGCAAAAAAGTGAAGAAAAAGGCTAAAAAAAGAAAAGAAAAATTCTTCAGGTTCTTCAACACCTCAATCCAATTAACAGGTCTCAGATATAAAAGGATGCATAAGAATAAACAACAACAAAAAACAATATGGAAGGTGGATGGAAAGACAAAAATACCAGGAAGGGAGAGAGAGAAAAAAGGGTACTCCCTTAAAAAGAAAAGGAAGGGAAACATTAATACTAAAGCTTTTCCTTTAAAATAAAAAGCAGGCGTAGAAATTTAACTTCCAAAGACAAGAAAAAGAAACAAAGACAAGTTCCAAAGAGCCAAAAATCCAAATAGCTATTACAAAAATAAAGTAAACTGATGAGGAGGGGTAGCACAGCTTAGAAATAATAAAAAGAGCACACTGCACTTTGTTTAATTATCCAAGGCTCTTGTTATAACTCTCTTCTCCAAAGACTTATCACCTTTTCTTTTCCTAAACTTCAACACCAGACTCCAGATGTTGATAGAAACCCAGAAGAGCACCTGCAATAATACTCTCCCATGCTCTTCCCCTCTATCTTATCAAACAGGCAATGTCCTTGAAAAAAAGTCTCAGTTCTTTCTCAGCTTTGTCTGGTCAAAAGAGGAATAGAATATTTCCAAGCCTCTAGTTGGCAGTGTTACAAAGTTTCTTTAGCTTTCACTTTCCCCCTCCTTTTCCAAGCAAAATATAATAAGAATTAATTAAAAAAAGAGAAAAAGGTATTTAAAAAAATAACTAAAAGGGAGTCTCTGGCTTAGAATATTATAAAGTCAAAAAGGAGAAAAGAATAGATAAAAAGAAGAGGAAAAAAAAACCAGTCCAGTTTCAAAATGTGTAGAAAATCCAGCAATGAGAAAAAAAATAAAAATATTACTCTGACATTCCTGTTTAAAATCACCACTTAATCACTTCTGTCAAAACTTTTACAGATTCTTTCTTTCCCTTAGGGTGTCCTTTCAAGTCTTAAAATAAAGAAAATGTTCTCACCAAACCGGCACACTTTCTCTTTCCGTTCTCTTTTGTTTCAGAGCTGTCCCAACTTCAGCAGCTTTAATGGCTGCCTCTTTGCCGCTGGCAAAAAGAGCTTCTCCTGGATCTACCAGGGACTTTGTGATATCCCTGGGATCGACAGGATGTACTCTTTACATTCACCATCTCTTCGGGACAGTTTAGATCCACTTGGACCGTCCAGGAGCAAAGATATCGGCAGCGATCTCAGACCTCCAGGATTGCATGCCATATCATCGCAATACCAGCTCCGCCCTCCCCAGAAAAATAGGAAATATATTAATCTAGCAATGCAATTATAATAAGATGTCTAATAGTCAGGACTAGATCTGATTTGAAAAATCCCAGTGAAGTTCTTAGATGTCTGGCAGACTTCTATAAAAAGAGTGGAGTGTTTTAACAGGCCAGGTATCATCTTATTAAAAAGGTGACACCTGAGTAGTTTGAATTTTGCCTGAAATCAAACTGTTGGCAGTAAAATTTCTTTCAGATTGAAGATGTTCATTTGAAATGTAACAGGGAATAGAATAGAACAGAATAAACAAGTTGGAAGGGACCTGGGAGGTCTTCTAGTCCAACCCCCTGCTTAGGCAGAAACCCTATACCATTTCAGACAAATGGTTGTCCAATCTCTTCTTGAAAACTTCCAGTGTTGGAGCACCCACAACTTCTGGAGGCAAGTTGTTCCACTGATTAATTGTTCTGTCGGGACATTTCTCCTTCATTCTAGGTTGCTTCCCTCCTTGAATACATAATTATGTATTCTGCATGAAGTAGAGTTTCTACCCAGTTTTTAATTATTTAAATTCTATCAGATACATGATTATTTCAAAATGGTGGATTTTGAATGCTATGCTATGGCAACACCTAGAATCCTATAAGAACAGAATCTCATACAATTGACTTAAAATTGTGTTTAAATTAATTGCATATAATTAATGGGATTTTCCCCATATTCACGGATTCCTTTCTTTTTTTAAAAGAAAACACAATGGGAATTTGCATGCTGGACACTAGAGGGAACCAGAAAGAAATAAAGATTACAATACAGATATAAAATGAATAACACCAGTTAAAAATGAAGTGCTTGGGAGGTTTCTCTCTCTCTCTCTCTCTCTCTCTCTCCTTCAGTTAATAGCTCCAAGAACCACTTAAGAGTTGCAGCTGGAATGCAGCCAATACAACTGAATCAAGTCAACAAACAACAGAAACTGACAGGATTAGGGCAGGGAAATCCATCTATCACCCATCTAGGGATGGGATTAACCTCTTCCCTCCAGGAAGAAGGAGAAGATTACAAACATTTTCATTATAAAGAGTATTAAGTAACACTTCTGTGATCAGCTGATACTCCTTGGAGTTCCCCAAGACCTTTCATAGCTGCTGCAGTGTTGGCTACTGTTTCTTCCTGGGGAGAAAGATACAGGAGAGGACAATGATGCAGCTTGATCATACAGGCTGTGAATTTAATGCATGTGTGGTCCAGCCGGCTGTATTGCTTCTGCTGTGAAGCACTCAATTTAGAACATAGAGAACATAGAATAACAGAGTTGGAAGGGTTAATGGCATTTGACAGCACGCTCAGGCTTTCAATTAGCATGAGCAGCTGCTCTTAGTTTCCTTCTCAGCTGCTGCATTTACTTTGGGGCTGACTTTTTTTAAAAAAGAGGGAATGGCTGTTTTAAGTTTTCTGCATTGTTTTAGTGGTTCCTGGCACTGTTCTTTTGGGGTGTACTTCCCTCACTCTTCTTGAAAGCCTCTAGTGATGGAGCACCCACAACTTCTGAAGACAAGCTATTCCATTAGTTGATTGGTCTCACCCTTAGGAAATTTCTCCTTCGTCCTAGGTTGCTTCTCTCTTTGGTTAGTTTCCATCCATTGTTTCTTGTTGTGCCTTTTGGTGCCTTGAAAAATAGATTGACTCCCTCATTTTTGTAGGAGCTCCTCAAATTTCCTGACAGAACAATTAATCAGTGGAACAACTTTCCTCCAGAAGTTATAAATGCTCCAACACTGGAAGTTTTTAAGAAGAGATTCGATAACCATTTGTCTGAAATGGTGTAGGGTTTCCTGTCTAAGTAGGGGGTTGGACTAGAAGACCTCCAGGGCCCTTTCCAACTCTGTTATTCTATTCTTTTCTAAATATTGGAACGGTGCTATTTTATTGTGCTATTTTATTGTGAGTTGGACTAAGAAGAAATTTCCTAAGGGTGAGACCAATCAAGTTGGCCACACCCACCCAGTCACATGACCACCCAGCCATGCACACCCAGACAGGTTGTTAAATTATTGGATTCCCACCACTGATCTACTCCCTGGACTCCAGGTAGTTTCATATAAAACAAAAAAATTGAGCAAAACACAAATTGTGAACTTGTAACAAAAAGAAACATGGGGGTTTTTTTTCTTGGAGTTTTTCTTGTCTTCATGGAATCTAACCAAGTAGGCAATAATTTTAGCAATATCGCACAATTACATAGTAAAGCTATTTAATTTCTTCTATGTTGTAAAAGTATCTGTTCAAAAATCCTAGAGTAAGCTAATGATGACTCTACATTGAATATTCTGATTAGTTACTGCTTCTATTGTATTTTATAGAGTAAAATTCACTTCAAGTCAAGTTTGATTAGTGATAACTTCAAGGGCATTTTAGTGTAGTTTTCTTGGCAAAAATATGAAAGTCATTTGCCATTGCTGGCTTCTGAGGTGTTTTTAGGGCTAGGGCTTCCAAACAGAAACTAAATTGAACCCTGTTTAGCTGCTGCCACCTAGCTGAACATTATATATTATACATACTTTCCCCCCAATTGTGCAGCAATTTCCTGTTGTTCACCTATTTGCATGTACATCTTTCCAATCTAGAAAAAGATCTTTTCTGCAGCCAGCTGGAATTCCAGTTCCTATGACATGGACCAAGGGGAGATGCACATAGATTTGTGATGGATTAAATCCATTGTCAGGTTATCAGAAAGCGTTGGTATCTTTCTTGGATTTAATTGTACTGAGACTTTATGTCGATTTTGGTATGCAAAGTAACTAGATGTCTGCTATTTGCTTAGGGAGACAAGCTCATTATTTTAAGACAACTTGCCAATATAGAGCAGTATAGTCATTATTTGAGTAGTAAGCTAACCATAACTGGCTAGAGAAGGCTGGTATTGAACAAAGTGGTTTTCATTTCCTTTAGTTTTACCAACTGGGTTTTTGCACATTCACTAAGCAAATTCACAGAGCTTTTTGATTCCTAAACATAAGAGCTTATTTACATTAGCATTGTTGAATTGCCCTGTTAGATACATTCTGTTTGATATTTACAGACCCCTCATATCCTGACATAAACTGTTTCAACTCCTAACCTCAAAACGATGCTATAGAGCACTGCACACCAGAACAACTAGACACAAGAACAGTTTTTCCCCGAATGCCATCACCCTGCTAAATAAATAATTCCCTCAACACTGTCAAACTATTTACTAAATCTGCATTACTACTACTATTAATCTTCTCATCCTTCCTATTACCCATCTCCTCCCACTTATGATTGTATGACTGTAACTTGTATCCTTACAATTTATATTGATTGTTTCCTAGTATGATTTGATTGCTTATTTGTATCCTATGACTATCATTAAGTGTGGTACCTTATGATTCTTGACAAATGTATTTTTTCTTTTTATGTATACTAAGAGCATATATGTTTTGACCCAAGCCTTGTTCAAATTAAACAAACACAAACTGTGTATAAAAGCAAATCTTTTTTCATGCGGCGCTGGGAATTCTTTGCATTCCCAGCCAAGAGTCATTTAAACCTAATTGTCCAAGATAAAAACAAGTCCTTTCAAGGTTGTAAAAGGCTGCCAAGAACAGAAGTCTAATTACTGATAAATATCAACCAACAGAAGTTTCAAAAACAAACCGGAGTTCACAGGCTTCAATGAGGACTCAGAATCTAAAGAACTTCTTTGATTCCTGCAAAGAGCACATCCCCGAGGGCTGGTTTGTATCCCCTATGGGAGGGGTAATCACCTTCCAGTCTTACTCCTGAGTCGCCCTTCCTGCTTCAGCTGCCCTCACCTTCTTGCAGCTCTGTGCACATGTGCACTGGGCACAGGCTCCCCAGGGTCCCCTACTTCACTGCTTCCAGGCTCCAAAAGCTCCAAAGGCACCACCCCACTCCAATAGTCCTGGCCCCATCCCTGCATCAGATTCAGGACCCTCGTCCAAGTCCTCGCCAGACTCCCTGATTGGTTCCCTTTCGTCCTCAGTGTCAGAGATCTCTGCCATCTGCACCTGCTGCTGGCGAATCACAACAATATGCACCAAGACAAATTCCTTGTGTGTCCAATCACACCTGGCAAATAAATAATTCTATTCTATTCTATTCTATTCTATTCTATTCTATTCTATTCTATTCTATTTTCTATTCTATTCTATTCTATTCTATTTTCTATTCTATTAATGTCCCCTCCAGGGGTTGCTTGTTCTGGGTTATTTCAGACAAATTGTAAAATCCTTGTTGACTCTCACACATAGGTTACTGCATTTTCCTGAGAAACTGTGGACTCCACTCTGAAGGAAGAGCAACTTATTTGTATGGTCACCTAGGCTGGTTAAAGAGGTGAGTCAGGAGTCACTTACTCCAACTTTTAAGCAATGTCTTCGTTAGGTTAACAGCATTGCTCATTCTGAGGCCATTAGATGTGCTGGACTACCACTCACACCATTCTCAGCAGATGGGGTCTTGCCTGTTGGGGATTATAAGACACGTAGTCTAGCAGGTGCCAGTTGTTATTACTACAACAATTCATAAAAGCTGCATAATTGCAAAACAACTCAAGGCAATGTACATTTTTTTAAAAAAAATCATAAAAACAAACAGAAAAATTAAAAGCCAATAATGTTATAAACAAAAAAAAGTTAATCTAGCAGTGTTGTTAACTTTTAAGTTGTGTGGATTTCAACTCCAGCATACAATAGCTGGCTGGGAAATTCTGGGAGTTGGAGATCCACGGATCTTAAAGTTGCCAAGTTTGCTCAAAGGTACATCAAGAACACACAAAACTGTCATGCCTATCTGAGAAAGGAGCCGGGCATACTGCCTGCACAATCCAGGAACTAATATAGCAGATAGACTGAAGTTTCACCTTTGAAGATTCCAGCTTTGTGAAACTCTTCCTTCAATGTACCATGGTAAGAAAACTTAGCAAAAATGGTTAGTGCCAGAGCTTGCAATTCAGTACAGCTGGAGGGCACCTGATTCTGAAATCAGTGACGTGTACATGTATACAATTTTTTGTTCTTTCTCCACCCTCAATTTAAACCTAAGATCAGAGACTCTGCAGCCTCTTTCCTGAACCACTCACCACACTTTGGTTTTTGGCATCAGAAAGTCTACAAAAAAACCCCTCCAAAAACCCAGTGAAATCTGTTGTTATGAAAAGGCTTTTATTTTCCCTTGGATTTTGTAATAAAACAGGGAACAGCACTTTAATTGGCCTTGGGTGCAGATCTCCCTTAGATAGGATGCCTGTCAGTTTAGGAAATGTCCATAAGTAGATTTTGAAAAGAGAGCTTGTTTGCATGTGTGGTTATTTAATCTCCTCAGCCATAATTTAGATAAGATCAATTCACACATGAAATGTCCTTCCTGGGTTCCCTATTTGAACAAGGCTCATCTTCATGCTGTCATAGCTCAAATATGTGAGAGAAGAACTTCATGTCATAAATATTCAAATGCAACACAATCATAACGTTAATATTATGCCTTCCTGAAAAGACCCTACAGTTGCATTCAGTATATTTTAAATCCTGACCTATAACATTCTAGGACTGCAGAGCAAATAGAAGCCCTTGGGACAAGAAAATGGAAAGATGCTTGCCTCATTGCAACGTTGCTCCCATCGATTACAATAGGCCTCAAATCATCAGACACCTCACTTGGTTCCTCAGTAGAGCCCTGGGGAAATGGAAGGGGTACTCCTTGAGCAGCAAGATTGGGCTGAAAATATTGGGTCCCACTCTCTGGAGGTCTTTTCCCCATGAGAATCAATTCTTGAAGCAAATCATTCTCCGAAGCCTCTTGACCTAATTTCTCCAGCACTTCGCACACCTCCTTCTTGCCATAGCCCAGCTTATAGAAGAATTCAAGCTTGTTCTGTTGGGCTTCCATGTTTGCACAAAGATAGGAAATCCTGCAGGAATAGTACTTTCTAAATCAGATGGAGAATCAGATGGTATAGCTGGGTGCAGGGAATATTTGTGCTGCTTTTAGTCAGTAAGGATCATCCACTGTAGCAAACTGAAAATATGTCCTTTAGAGAGAGAGAAAACAAAAACAAAATAACTATTTGGCTACAATGATAAATCAAAGAAGTGCCAATTAGATAAAAAAAACTTCAGGATTAAGCAGTTTTTGCAATATAATATTATTAATTGTGACAGACAATTGAAAAATTCCAAAAACACAATTGAAAAAGTCCAGAAATATTTCACAAGAAGAGTTCTCCGCTCCTCTACTCATTGCAGAATACCTTATGCCACCAGATTTGACCTAGAAAATCTAGAACTATACCGCCTCTGGTCTGATCTAAATATAGTATATAAAATCATACATTGCAATGTCCTACCTGCAAATGAATACTTCAGCTTTAATCATAACAAGAACACACAATAGATACAAACTCAAGGTTAACCGCACCAAACTTGACTGCAGAAAATACGACTTCAGCAACAGAGTGGTCAATGTTTGTAATATTCTACCTGACTCTGTAGTTTCTTCCCCAAACCCCAAAAACTTTAACTTTAGACTGTCTACTATTGACCTCACCCCTTTCCTAAGAGGCCTGTAGGGGGCGTGCATAAGTGCACCAACGTGCCTACCGTCCCTGTCCTATTGTTTTTTTTATTTTTCTTATAAGTATCTATCTCATGTATTCAAAACTATATTTATTCTTATACCTGTATCTTGTAAGCGATTGACAAATCAAATAAATGCTAAAATACTAAATACAGAATCCACTTTTTAAGAAAATTATAAAAATGAAGTATTGTTTACAAAATAATCAATTATTTATTTATATCCCACCTTTATTATTTCTTTTATAAACACTTAAGATGGCAAACATATCCGACACAACTTCCTCCTCCTATTTTTCTTACAACAACCCTGTGAGGTGGGTTGGCTGAGAGAGAGTGACTGACCCAAAAATCACCCAGTTGGCTATTATATTGCAAAGATATTTATTAAAATATCTATATAATTTTAATAAACATAATAAAAGTTTGTTTTCTATCCTTGAAGTGCATTGTTAAGCAAACCCTAACACTTCCCAGTTTTATATTCATATATATCAACAATATTCATATAATATCGCCAGGTGTTCATAGACAAAAAGCTCTTAGAAGATACCTACTCATATGAACCTCCTCCTTTTTCAAACTGATGATCACTGTCAGAATGTGTAACTCGCCTGAAGAACCTGGAAAAAATAATCCTAAATCATTTGTGAAAGGCTGATGCAGAGTTTTTGCTGCATAGGATTTAGTCTCCTCAAGTGACAATTTATCATACATCAATATAATGCTTTGTAAATATTAGATAAAACAAAACACCATTTCTATTCAGATTTCTCTTGAGTTAAAAAAAGCTCATGAGGATAAAATAGAGTCTTTACTTTACCTATCTCAGATTGTGTTAGCCTCTTTGACTTACCAGATGTGTGCTGCCTGTCTTGAGATGTTCTGAGCATCAGTAATTCTCCCTTATTAAATATAACCTCGAGGAAACCAAAATCCATCAGAACATCAGGTAATGTGCCTAAGATAGGTGTGCAAGAGTGACGTAGGCCAAATCCTGTGCAAGTACATTCGCACGCAGATGCTTGACTTATCTCTGATTACAACAAAGAAAAACAACTTCACCAGGGAGTTGCACTGTGGTTAGCAGAGGACAGATACCATCTCTTTTGCTGGTGAAGTAACAAATAACAAATGGTTAGCAATAAACAAACATTGTCCATCGCTACTGAAAAAGAACTTGAGGCCCGATTATGAGGTAGGTGGGAGACGTTGCTTGTTTGATGGCTAGTTTAAGAACCATTTTGTAAAGAGAACCCACAGCCTCTAAAGATTTTGAGCTCCAGCTTCTAGTCCCTGTGAGGGGAGGGAAATTCAGCGTTGTTGTCGTTCTGCACATCCTCTTTTTCAAGGCAGAACTGCACTACACTTCTAAATTTAGCTCATTATCATGTTGCATACCCTTTGAATTCGGCTAAATCCTGGACGCATTGAACAAACATCGCCCCCTCCATATTTTTTATTCACTTGTGTTACTTTTCTCCTTGTAAAGGGAAAAAAGACATTTTTTTCAGTTATTAGACATAGATGCAGGCCTCATATTCATGAAACAACTTATAAGCAAACTAAAGCGATAATACTTTCAAATTGTTACTTCAGCTAACATACATGTTTTAACATATGCATAGCGTTTATGACTGCAACAATTTTTCTGGGGCCCTTGGTGCTCTGGAATCTTGGTTGTATGCTTGGAGATGTTTTGTTACCAGAGTAGGTAATCTCTTCAGTGCTAGAAAGGAGTGGGGTTTGCTCTCTGTTTATATATAGTAACTTTCCCTGTCAGTGTTGAAGGGGGTGTTATTTTTCTCCCTGGCACAGGTGAAACTCGAAAAATATCATGCAAAAGTTCATTTATTTCAGTAATGCAACTTAAAAGGTGAACCTAATACATGAGATAGACTCATTACATGCAAAGCAAGATAGTTCAAGCCGTGATTTGTCATAATTGAGATGATTATGGCTTACAACTCATGAAAACCCAAATCCACAATCTCAGAAAATTAGAATATTACATGCAATCAATAAAACAAGGATTGTACATAGAACAATATTGGACCTCTGTAAAGTATAAGCATGCATATGTACTCAGTACTTGGTTTGGGCCCCTTTTGCAGCAATTACTGCCTCAATGCGACGTGGCATGGAAGCTATTAGCCTGTGGCACTGCTGAAGTGTTATGGAAGACCAGGATGCTTCAATAGCGGCCTTCAGCTCTTCTGTATTGTTCGGTCTCATGTCTCTCATCATTCTCTTGGCAATACCCCATAGATTCTCTGTGGGGTTCAGGTCAGGCGAATTTGCTGGCCAATCAAGCACAGTAATCAAACGGTCATTGAACCAGGTTTTGGTGCTTTTGGCAGTGTGGGCAGGTGCCAAGTCCTGCTGGAAAATGAAGTCAGCATCCTCATAAAGCTCGTCTGCAGAAGGAAACATGAAGTGCTCCAAAATCTGATAGACAGCTGCGTTGACCCTGGACTTAATGAAGCAGAGTGGACCAACACCAGCAGATGACATGGCTCCCCAAATCAACACAGACTGTGGAAACTTCACACTGGACTTCAAGCATCTTGCGGTGTGTGCCTCTCCATTCTTCCTCCAGACTCTGGGTCCTTGGTTTCCAAATGAGATGCAAAAGTTGCTCTTATTAGAAAAGAGGACTTTGGACCACTGAGCAACAGACCAGTTCTGTTTTTCTTTAGTCCAGGTAAGATGCTTCTGATGTTATTAGTTGTCCAGGAGCAGCTTGACAAGAGGAATATGACATTTGAAGCCCATGCCCAGGATCCGTCTGTGTGTGGTGGCTCTTGATGCACTGACTCCAGCCTCAGTCCATTCCTTGTCAAAGTCCCCAACACTTTTGAATGGCCTTTTCCTGACAATCCTCTCCAGGCTGCGGTCATCCCTGCTACTTGTGCACCTTTTTCTTCCACACTTTTCCCTTCCACATAACTTTCTATTAATATGCTTTGATACAGCACTTTGGGAACATCCAACTTCGTTTGCAATTATGGAAGGTGTCAATGATGGTTTCTGCACAACTGTCAGGTCAGCAGTCTTTCCCATGATTGTGATTCCTACTGAACCAGACTGAGAGACCATTTAAAGGCTCAGGAACCCTTTGCAGGTGTTATGGCTTAATTAGCTGATTAGAGTGGGACACTTTGAGCCTAGAATATTGAACCTTTTCACAATATTCTAATTTTCTGAGATTGTGGATTAGTTTCACCTTTTAAGTTGAATTACTGAAATAAATGAACTTTGGGACGATATTCTACTTTTTTGAGTTTCACCTGTAGTTCCTCGATAATGGTAACATTTATTGTTTGTTTGCCTGTTGTACAGCTATAACATTACAGTATAAATATATGTAAATAAGTTATGGCACTCAGGTATTGATATAATTTGCTGTCACTGGCATCAAAATATACAAAAACGGTGCTAGGATTTACTAAAATATTGTGTCCTGGAAGATTACATCATAGGGCAAAACCTGGAGTGGGCAATGTTCATTTTCACAAATTGAAGGAAAAAAACCCTTGATGAATGAGATTGATTTATGTATAACTAGGTCCAGGTATACTGTCATAAGGACATCTTATTCTGTGAGCTGTTAAAATTCCAGGTAACTCTATGGGCTGCTAACTAGTCATCTCACCTGTGATTTTGGAGGGATCAACCCTTGCCTCTAATTTGCCAAGGAATGAATTTATACTTGATCATTTTATTTCTGAATGTATGATCTGCCAAATATTGCAGTACATTTGAAAAAGTGTTTATTTAGTCAAGCCTATTTGCCTGCTTCCTTGTTTGAGAAGCATTTTATAAAAATTTGCAACCCTCACCCCACTCCATCTCCACCTCCTACTAATTTTCTGTATTAATTCTCTCTTATCCTACAACGAACATGTTCCAATCATCACTTTTCCATAGTTGGACAGATTGAGTGGCTGTTTCTCAACCTGCAGCTTTGGCACACAGGAATGGAGAGATATGGTTGTTTTCCTTTGGTCGTGGCTGCTTAATTTTATTCCCCTGGAGTCTGTCAACATTCGGTGCCATTATAGTCTCACACTCTGAAAGCAGGGAGGGAGGTATTTCCTATGCTTACATTTTTTATTCTTAAAATACTTTGCCTGCAAACTTAATGTTTCTCAGGTCTACTGACCTCCCTCTTGGATTATTTGATTCTAAAGATATATTAAATAACCTGGGCCCCAAAAGCTAGCTCTGGGTACTCCTTGTATATGTGTTCCTGATGTTTTGGTCCAGTGTGAACCCCCAGAATGATCGTTCTAGGCAGAAGTGATTCAGAGAAGGGGAAAAGAGAGACATTAATAGTGGTAATAAGGTAGTAACAGGAAGAGAAGGAAGGACACGTGTTGGGAATATCACAGGTGGACTGGCCAGTAGGATATGCCATGTTAGGGCCCTATTCCTGTTGAGACCTTTGTTAAGCTAGTTAGTACATCAGTGGTGAATGAGGGGAGAGAGGGCAAGGGCTAAGAATATTGGGAGGGTGGTAGAGTGTTGGGATAGGTTTTACATGGAGCCATGCAGGGAAGAGAAAGGGCAACGGACACTAATCTTGACTTCTAAAATTACTCTAGTTTCCCCCCCCAGATTCTGTTTCTCACTAGAAGGGTTTGGGTTATCTTTGCTCAGCCATAAGCTAAAATGGTTGAGAAGTTGGGAATACAATAGTTTGTATCAGGGTCAAGAAAAAAAAAAAGTAATGTTTTCCATTCTGTGCCCACCCGTTTAATTTCCTTTAAGACTGCAGAGATAACTCTACTCTCCAAATAGATGGACTCTATGCCAGTTCCTTGCTGGCGCTCAGGGGGCTTCTCAGAGCAGGATAGAAGCATGCAAGACTACACATTAAACAAAGACTTAAAGATGCCGCTTGGTTCAAATTCGGTCCTGCTCCGACTCCTCCACCGAATGCTTTGGCAGAACTAGGTCAAAAGAAAATGGTCTGTACTCACAGAAAGCGAAGTGCCTTTGCTTTAAGAGACCTAGGTTGGCTGTGCCTTCACCGTAGCCCAAGGAGATGCAGAAGGTTACACTGCATTTGCAAGCCTCAAGGAAGTCCAGATATTTTTTTAAGGCATACTGTTATTGATTTTGAGAAAGTGCAATGTGCAGATTGTAACTCATTTCATGGGAACATTTCTACTTCCTTAATGGGCAACTCCTCATTTTACTTACTACAATACACATACTTCGTCTTAGCAAAACAGGGAGGGATAGCAGGATTACAATACAAAGGTCATTGCCCAAGTGAGAGAAACAAATCATAATCAGCAGGGTTTTTAGCTTCATTAGAATGTTTAAAACCGACATATTAATCTTATCAACAAATGTGTTTGGTTCTCTCTCTTGCTTTTCGCTGCATTGTGCATTGCAAATTTATTAAGCTTTCCTTTGTTTCCCTTCTCATCACACAAGCCTTGGTGGAACTGCCATGAGAAACACATATGGAAACAGGCTGGGTGCTTTTACTGCTCCTTATCTTAACACAGGGCTCTTAAACCGTTTAGTAAAGAAGGTAGAAGTTGCTGAAGTGATCAGGCCTAACACGAAGGGTTCCAGCATTGGTTTAAAATGCATATTCCTCTAAGAAAACCTGAAAATTTATGTTTATTTTCTGTCTTGTAGCTTCTGAAAGAAAATTTTCTACCCTGCAATCATGGTTAACAGGAGAGATCTTAAAGCAATCCAGTTTGTCAGATCAGGGATAACCAGGGCAGGATTTTGGTGGGATTTAAAACAGAGATGTAAGCCTTCTTCAGCCAAGGGCTGTTCTTGATCAGCAGGGTAGGGCAGCAATTAGTAGGTCAAAATATATTAGCTTTATAACTTAATGAAATTAATGATGCCTCACTGTACAAAGTATGCTTTTCCTTTTCTTTCACGCTAATAAAATTACAATTTGCTAGGATCTAGGAGCTCCATGTACCTCTGATTTGTCCATTCTGATTTAGAATCATTGTGACGATTAATAATCAAGTTCTTTCACTGCACTGTTTAATGAACAAATAGTCCATAGAAAATGACATGCATTTGTAATGAAAGTTTTAAGGGAGATCAAATCACTTGCTTTTAAAAAAAAGCATAGTTGCTCATGAAAAGGCCTAATTAAAAAAAAACGTAAGAGACAGAAAAAATTCTGTTACAGATTATAGCTATAGTTTAACCGACATGTTTGTTGATACTGTTTGCTTATACGAACAAGATGTCTTCCAGAACAAATCATCTATGTCTTTCTCATTGGCATTTAGGGCTTGCCAAATTTTTCAACTTTTAATTTCCAAACATTAGGGGTGCTCGAAAGTTATGACATGCCTTGGGGATCGTAAAGATATTTTGGTTACTTTAATATAATTGAGATGTGCTTGGTAAGTAACTACATAAGTATCATAACTTTTTAAAACATTTTATTTCATTTGAATATTATCATTTGCTTTCATAAAATGAATCCAGTTAGAAGGAAAAATAAACCTACCACATACGTATATAGGGTCTGATAGCTTTTTAAAATTAAGAATGTACAATTTTACATTACCAAACAAAGCTACATTTTAAAACCCAAATACAAAACCCACAGGATTTGCTACAGCTTCCTAACTGACATCGATTTACTAATATATTTGCTGAAATAGATTAATGTCGCTATATTAGATGGAAGTGAAACTAATGGTTTGCATGGAGATATTGCAGTTAGCACAAAATGTGGACAGCCGCTCTTTTGTGGCAATCTAGATGTATCAGTATTGTATATACTGTTACGGTGCAGAGTGAGGCTTCTCACTTTCTCTCTGAAACAACAGGTATTTAGAGCCACTTCAATGCAATGAAGTCTTAGAAGTACCAACTGCATGGGCTAGTACCATACCAATGATGAACTGTGTATTGTACTAGTATATATTTCCATATTTTTATATATAAAACTTCAATATTATCTATTTGTATAAATACAACAGGGAAGCCTCAACTGGCAATAAAAACAGATCTCCCTCATTCGTGTAATTGTACAAGCTTCACTCATTAAGAGTTTCCTATGAGAAAAAAGTAAATTCATCCAGTCTTGAATAAAGTCCTCCATGTTCCTTTTAGAGTTAAAAGAGATTTGGAATTCCTTTCTGGCAGTAACAGCAGCAGACTGCTAACAGTAATAATGGGAATGCTGCAGCTTCCTTGTTACTGTACTACAGCACGAAATTCTCTAATCTCTGCAATCTGCCATTTTCAAAGGCAACAAAAACAACAGGAGAATCCACCTGATGAAGATATCCTCCCACAGAACTCTTATGAGGCAAAATCAGAGGGAGCTTAAAGATCTTCTGGAAGAGAAGGGAAGACACTGGCAGTTTCTAAGGCAGATAAATGCTTAGAAACAGTTGCTTTACATTAATCCGTCCTTATTTATATTTGGACTTTTCCTTATCTTTGGACTTTTTGGGGTTCTTGCCAGACTTTTTCTCTTCATAATAGTCTCTTTCCCCAGCTTCCTCGGAATGCTTGTCTTTAGACTTTTTGTGATGGCTTTCTCTCTCCCGAGAATGGCTCCGACATCTCTCTCGCTTGTCACTTTTTCTTTTCTCCCTATTGAATTCTTCTTTGTGCTTTCGGCTGGGCTCCTGAGAGGAGGAAGAGAAGGAAAATGCAGTTATTTGAATTGAGGAAACAGAAGAGTGGAGAAGAGGAGCAGGTAGAGTGCTAACAGTTTTCAAAGTCTGCCTGCTGATTTTCATGCTAGTCCTACAGGATGAATAGTAATATACCAATTAATTGTAAGTAAATAATGCCTAAATAGACCTTTAAAGGAAACCTCTGGGAAGAACAAAATAATCTCAAATGTCCTCAAATGTTTTTCCCAATCTGTTATCATTAGCAAAAGGTCTCTTTGTTTTTCAGTGTTGAATCAGATTTGTTGTCGTTGCTAACAGCATACATCTTAATAAATTGTAATTTTTAAAAAAACATGTTCTAGGATAATTCCTAGCAAAAAAACCCCAAACCCTGAGGTTTCAATTCAGACTTTGTTTTTGAGAATATTTCTTTCTTTCTAGTACTTCAGGGTTTTGTTTTGTTTTCATAACAATCACATACGATAAAATATTCCAGCAGTTTTTTGTTGTATGATTTACCTATTTTTGTGATTATTAATAGTTATTTATTTTTATGATCCTGTAATCCCTTTTGTCGGGGCAACTGAATGGAGCTGAGCATTTCCTCGCCGGATGCCCCTCCTGATGCTTACTATTTATTCTTTGCATCTTGGCAGAGAAACATCTGGTGCTGCCTAGGATCGAACTCTCAACCTCCAGAGTATGAGGTAAATATCTTCACCGCTAGGCCACCGCACTGCTCCTTATTAACAGTGTTTAATATACCATCTGTAAAATATTTATGCCAATTTTCTCTTAAATTATAGCTACTCAAAAGATTGGAACCCATCATTTTGTCTACTAAAGGCAACTCATTTACTATTTACTAGCAGAAGACATTTTTAAAAATACCCCTTTCTTTCACTATGAAAGGTATTCCAGTTTATTGATGTTTTTAGGTAGCACTTTAGAACAATATTAATAGGTTTTGGTTTCAAGGAGTTTGCATTTTACAATGTATCAGGAAAAGACTATTTGCTATCCAAAGGAAATCAAATTTCAGGTAAAAAAGACATCCAAACAGAAATGCACAATTAAACTAGAAAAAAACACTGGACTGGATGAAAAGGGTACACTCAAGGGTAACGAGAGAGTAGATCATAACTAGAAAAAAACAGTTCTGAAAAGCCTGAAATTCGATGAATTATTTAGAATGCCCAGGGAATATTTAATATCCAAAAACAGATATCTGATGAAACTACGTTGGAGATAAAGTCAAAGTAAATTTCTTCTTATTTACAAATGAATAAATAAGATGGCAAGATAAATCAGGAACAGTGCATGAAATGGCAGGACAGAGAAAGTAATTGGGTACATTAAGGAAACAGAACGTGCAAGGAGTATCACAACAGGCAAAATAACTTTAAGGTTTAGCAGTGAATCTGGTGAGGACAAGGTAGAAACTTCTTCCAAATAGAAAACAGCAATGCAAAAAGTGAGGCTACAATAGTAAAGTGGCTTGTTCTAAGAATATGGAAAACAAAGGACGTGGGAGATGGCTCTTCCCTTTATTCTCCTTTCATTCATATAAATAAGTTAATTAGCTCAGTAAAAGTTTTTTGCATTGCAGCAGCCTTCATTTAATAGCTGTGCTATCACCGCATTGCAAACTTTTGCCCTGAATTTGTGTTTGCACCGCTACAGAGCAGCTAAGCAACAATAAGAAGAATCTCTAATCTTTTCCTAGCTGTCACAAGGTAGGGGGGGACGACAACGAAGGGGATGAGATTAATTTTTGATAGTAACTAAGAACGTTTTCTTGCATCATAAAAAACCACACACAGAAGCTAACAGATCACAACTACTTTTTCAAAAGGTCACTTGTGTCAGATTCTTAGCTTAAGAGCAGCCTTTTTTTTCCCCCTGCCTATTGGCAAAGTTGAATTTCCTGTCTTTTAGTGAGGTCATATTTAATTTAGTTTTTCTTAAAAAAACTAAGGGGCTGCAGAGCTGAGGGGATTTCCAGTAGAGTGCAGAAGCCAAAAGAAGTGGTTAAGAGTGGTTAACAGTGAGCAAGTTCTGTATTTGAAAATGGGAAGGTAGGGAGTAAATTTTTAATCTGTGTTAAGGCAGCAAATAGAACAATCCTGGAGTAGAATATAAAGGAATTGACATCTTTAAAGGCAGGGAAAACCCTAAGGCTGATTTCTTTTTACAGGAATGAACCATTTAAAGCCATCATTCCAAGCAAAGGACAAACATTTAATACCTTGGATTTTTTGCTCCTCTTCTCATCCTCATCAGTGTCGTCTGAATGGTAATGTTTCCTCTTTTTATCAGAGTGCCTGTGGCTGGTTTTGGCTTCCTCTTCTTCATTCTCCAGCAAAAGATCGTATTTGGAGCTACAGATGTCAGTTAAGGAAAACATAACCAATAGTGCTGCCAGAGCGAGCTGGGAAGGAGAGAAAATCCATAAATGCAGACACCAGCAAACCGTCCCTTTCAGTATTTCTTTGCAATAATTTTGCCAAGCTTTGAAACACACAAACAATTTTGAATGGAAATTTTAAATCATCCAGTTCTTATGTGCAGCTATCAGAATCAATCCCAGATTTTCTATTTTGTAACTGTTCTGAGACACAACTTGGTAGTTGCTGAGAGATGTGTCTGTGTGGTAAACTGATGGCAGCCCTCCACTTCGCAGCTTTAATAATTCGTTTTCCTGTACATCCCAGCCAGAATGCAAAGCAACATTAATATAAGGCAACATTAGGTCTTTGAAAAATGGAACTGAGAGTGACACTTAATACACAATCTCCCCAATTCACAAGAAAGTGAAATTAAACTAGGAGAATCTATAGCAAATACATTCAAGACATGGAAACATTTTTTTACAACTGTTATAACACTTCGATTCTTGTCACAATTAAACACTGCTTATTTCTTACAGAGAAAAATTATCATAAAGCCCAAACAGGCATTTAACTGAGATTATTCAGAGACACATAAAAGACGACGTACTTGCCAGTGACTCTTGATTTCCTAAATCCAACTTGGCTCTTCACTAAATATTACATGTACGATAGTTATATAACAAGAGAGTTTACATAAAAGCCCTAAGAAAATAAGGTTTGAAATTGAATGTGAGAATGCAAATCTATCCATGAATAGTCAATGTATTAGATCTAGAGATATTCAGCAATCGCTGCAAATACTTTAATATTGGTGAATAAAGAAGAAGCATATTCTATCAGCTCTGAATAGTTTCATATTCTTATTGAATGTTATATATGTTAATGTTCTATTTATTAGAATGGAATAGAACAGAATTGGAAGGGACCTTGGAGGTCTTCTAGTCCAACCCCCTGCTTAGACAGGAAACCCTATACCTCACTTCAGACAAATTTTCAATACCAGAATGCTGTAGTTAAGGTGCCGGATTAGGAGCAGGGAGCAGACTTGAGTTCTAGTCCTTCCTTAGGCATGGAAGCCAGTTGGGTAATTTTGGACCAGCTGCACCCTCTCAGCCTTGGATTGGGAAGTCAAGAAACTATTCTATCAACCCACAATAGACCAGCATGATGACACTGCTTTTAACAACTATGATACTTCACACAACAATATAATTGATTAGGATACTCTTGCTTGGGTTTTGCTTTCTCCTTCAGGCTTAATTTAGAAGATTTGCTGTGATCTTTTTCATATTCTTTGAAATCATCCTTGGTGTATTTCCCACCTGTTTATAAAAAGAGAGATAAGTTGATATTTTGAATACAGGGCCCGTGTGGAAATAGCTGTTAACTATTGCTGTGCTGAATAAACCGGTTTATGGAGATCCTATTGAAATAGGCTCCAAACAGAAATGTTTCAGAAATAGTTAAGGCCTCTAGGGTGTGCCTGTCATGAGATCCCCTGCAGAAATCTAAACAAATACTTTGTGCTAAGCTTTCTTATAATCAGATTTGAAATAGTCTGGTTCACAAAGGAAGCCCTTCTCAAACAGTGCTCTTCAGCAAAAAAAATAAATAAATGATGCCAATTCTAATGGGCTCATACACGTTTTGATCAAATTCAAATAGTTTGAGCTACTTCCTTTCAGTCTACCAGCTACAACATTAATCCTTTTAATACTGATACTTAATACTGATAAAGCCAGAGTCAAACTTCACCATTCCCACATGCATTTATTAAGCAAATTTAGCTTTTTCCATCTGTATAATTACAAAATTGAAAAACAGAATATGCACCTTTATAAATGGCTAACTGATGGTCAACAAATCTATATCTGACAAATAGTTTCACTGAAAACAAATTTGTGTCCCTCCCAAAACAGATTTGATAATGTCTATAACAGGAGTGTCAAACTGGATTTCTTGGAGGGCCCGTTTTGGCTGGCAGGGTGCTGTAGGAAGCTGTCCAGGCTGAAAACAGGCCAGAAACGTTTTTCTAGCAGAGGCACTGTGGGCTGGTCCTTTGCTATTTCTAGGCCGGCCCTGCAGGCTGGATCTAAGCCCGCACAGACCAAATCTGGCCCTCGGGCCTTGAGTTTGATAAACCTGATCTACAAGGAATTTACAACGGGTGAAATTAATAGAAATAATTTATATATCTTGTTACCTTTTCCTTTCCATTTAACCTTTGCAACAGATTGGCTAAAATCAACATGTATTCGCCTGTCATCTATTAAGACATTGTCCATCTTAAAGTAAGCTTTCTCGCAATCTTCTTCCTGGTATAGGTTTCAAGAAAAAGTATAATTAAATTTAGAAAATTTGATACCATCATAAAAGTGGAAAACATAATTATTGCCATAAAAAGTTCTGACAGAATTAATGCTACCTTTCAGTTAGCTTAGAATGCACAATACCAATGGCATATTGTTAAGTAGAATCTGACTTTAATATAGAAGTCTAGTGTTAAGGCACTAGAAATTTCAGTATTTTATAAGTTCTTACAAAACTGGAATCACAATTGCTTCTGCAGGGTAGCTGCAAACTTGTCTACATTTTAAATTAGCATGTTATGTGACCTTGGTCCATGAAGTTAATTAATTGTTAATGAGAAGTTGCCTCATGCCCTTTGAAACATTCTCCCCACAGAGGCGAGGTGGGGGCTCAGTTTCCTGGTTTTCCAAAAATATCTATCTTGCTTAGGATTCAAAGAGCAGCACCCAGTTATGGGGTTGTTTAGTGCTCTGAAGCCCTTCCCTGTCTTTTAATATGCTTGGAACTGAAGTGTTCTGAATGTTAACTTTTTAAAAAAATAAAATAAAATTGTATATAAAGCATTCTGTTTGGAAACAATACCATTTATATGGTCACACTGTACAGTTAAACACTATATACGTATGGCCACATACCTTCTCAAATTCAATGAAGGCATAGCAAAGAGATTCACCAGTTTTCCAATCTCGAATCACTTCACAACTGAAAAACCAACACATTTTATTCAGGAAACAAATACATATGGTTAACATATGACAAACAATGATGATATTTTTTCATACATTATTTTTATTGCACTTTTTTCTCTTTACACATCTTAAAACATCTTTAACAGTACTGAAGCATCTTTGTCACAAATACACATTTCCATACAATACTGATTATTCATATACATTTCTATACCTTCTTTTTATCTCTACAATTCTTATTCCTATTGCCCATCCATTCATACCAATTTTCCCATACCGCATAATACTCCAAATCTTCTTTACCTTTTAATTCTAGGGTGAATTTATCCATTTCCGCACATTCTAAGATCTTTTGGATTACTAAACCTTCTGACGGTATGCTATCTTTTTCCCAGCATTGTGTGAGTGCAATTCTCACTGCCGTAGTCATGTATTTTATCTTTTTATTATATTTCCCATTGATTATCCCTAGAAGGAACAATTCTGGCTTCAGTACTATTTGATAGTTTGTTATTTCGTACAGCTATTTTTGTATTTTAATCGAATACTTTTTTACTTTGGCGCATAAGCCACCATGAGTGAAAGAAGGTACCTTGTCCCTGTTTGCATTTCCAACTACTTGGGTTCAGATTTGGGTACATTTTTGCCAACCTTGTTGGGGCCAAATGCCAACGATAAAACATCTTACATTGATTTTTTTTATATGCAGCGGGAGATTTTTTTTTTTTAACTCATTCCACAGCTTTCACAGCCATCATTTGTGGAGGTCCTTGTAAACCACTATGGTATCAGAAGTTGCAGTATAGATGATAAGAATAATATGTGAGTTTAGTAAAACTACAGACGAAGTCTCGCTTTTTACTTTCTATCCTATAGGGCTACCTTTAGACCCAAGGATGAGTTTCAGGGTTGGTCCAAATTCTAATTCAGTTAATGGGGTCAGTAAGGATCACTGGGTTCAGCATCAATATACTAAACACTACACTAAGCTTTAAACATACCTTCAGGTCAGCCCTCACAATTGAATTAGACCAGGGGTCTCCAACCTTGGTAACTTTAAGCCTGGCGGACCTCAACTCCCAGAATTCTCCAGCTAGCTGGGGAATTCTGGGAATTGAAGTCTGCCAGGCTTAAATTGCCAAAATTGGAGACCCCTGAATTAGACAACTGCACTTTCTTACATAACATTGATTTCAGATACAGAAAAGCCACATAAAAAACCCCTAAAGGTAGACATACATTTATTACAATACAGAAGGAAAAAGTCCTGGAACAGTCTACAGTAATTGTTTTTCTAATACTTAATAAATGGCTTTGTAAGAGTTGGTTCTCAGACTAAAAATTCAAACAACCATAATTCACAGCAATTCCTTTAGCAAAGGACCTGACTCCTCCCCAATGTATAATATAGTTAGTCCTCAACTAATAACAGTTCGTTTAGTGACCTTTTGAAGTTACAATGGCACTGAAAAAAATGACTTATGACCATGTTTCACATTTGTGACTGTTGTAGCATTCCCTGTGGTTATGTGATTAAAATTCGGATGCTTGGCAACTGACTCACATTTATGACAGTTGCAGTGTCCTGGGGTCATGTGATTCCCCTTTTGTGACCTTCTGACAAGCAAAGTCAATAGGGAAACCAGATTCACTTAACAACCATATTACGAATTTAACAAGTGCAGTGATTCACTTAACAAATGTGGCAAGAAAAGTTGTAAAATGGTGGCAAAACTCACTTAACAAATTTCTCACTTAACAACATAAATTTTGGGTTCAATTGTGGTCATAAGTTGAGGACTAGTTATACTACGAGTCAAAGACTCAAAATCCTTACCCTAAGACACACATAAATATATTGATTTTAAATCAAAAACAGTTCGCCTGCTGAACTTCCTTGCTTTCATCTTTTTAAAGTCTGCTAAAGAGAACTTTGTTGAGACTCCCACTTAGGAAAAAACACTTTCAGTTTAGGCACTCACCAAAAGTCTGAAAAGTATTTGTCAATAAAAGGATCTAATTAATATCTATGCAAAGTCTCTTGCTAGGCCACTGTGACTAAAAAATGCTCCTTGTGCATTTTTCATTTGCACTTTTTATAAAGGTCTGCTAATGTAGTCTTTGCAATGTTTGACACTTACCTTTTTATTAGACCAAATCGAGAAAATATAATTTCAAGGTCTTCATCGGTTGTCACAGGATTAAGTTTGCAGACAAAAAGAACATTTTCAGGTGGCTTGATATTTGCATCAGGTAAGTCTCCAACCTGGAGGGACAAAGCAATACAGATTATGTTATTCCGAAACTCCTACAATTTACACTTATATACATATCAAAACGACTCCATTTTAAGATGCTGAGAATGACTCAATCTGAATGTGCTACTCAAGATTGCTCTGAAGCCTTAAGGATGGAAAAGGCAGACCTTTCAGTTCAATGACCTCTCTCGGAGGAGCTGCTATAACTGAAATAGCAATTTGTGAAGAAAGATTCATTCATCTCTTTTTTTTCATGTTTGTGACTTTACCTGTAAAGATTTTACAAAGATTAAGGACTGATTTATAAGCAATAATTGTGGTGTCAAGTTGTAACCTGACTTACCAATGCATTATATGTTTACTTTCATGGACCATCACAGAAAAAAAAACAATTAAAGAGAGTTATCAATTTAAATGCTTTTTTAATATACCTGATTCATATACTTTATTTTTAAAAAGTTCCAAATTACAGTAGATCATAGTAAACAATCCTTATTCATGTCTTGCAATGAGTAGGGATTACTAAAGTTTTAATGGTAAAACACTAAAATATACATTGTTATTACATGCTGGGTGCTCTTACATAAAATCTGGTTCCACATATTTGTCACACTAGAGCAGGGGTGCCAAACTGGCGGCACGCAGGCTGGATGCGTCATGCACAGGCCACACCCACCCCAGCTGTGTGAATGGGAAAAACGTGAAACTTCACGTGATGGCAATGTGACACGGCGAGTATGACACGGCAAAGAGGGATGGAGGAAATAATGGCCAAGGTCTGGGACTTGCCATCAGCCCTTCCTTCAGTTTGGAAAAATAGTAGTTGGAATTTAGCTTATGACTTATGTCTACCTGGGAGGAAACTAGTTGCTGACCACAAGTCAGATTCATCTGTCTACATTTTACAAATGTTTACATGAGTTTAGTACAATAGCTTTAAAACTCAAATGTAAGCACAGATGCACATTTAATCTGCATTCAAGTTCTTTAACAAAGAGTGATTCTGCATATGGATTGATTTAACCAAATTTATTATACGATGTTTTAAATCCTTTAGATTTCACTATAAAACAAGTTTTAAATTTAAGAGGCAAAATTTGCCAAAGAACACAGAGCATACCACTTTTAATGTGGTAATCATTTGGTATGTGGTATCATTTCTATAAAACTAAGCATCTGCTAAGCATCTGCATTTCTACAGCTTAGCAATCAGATCAGGTACAGTGTTTTTACCATTTCCAAGAGAATAGCCTGTGTTTTTGCTTCTTTCTCTGCCAGAATTTCTTCTACTTCATTGGTAGATCTTCCTTTGAAGTCATCAATTTCTTCATCAGCACCTATTCGCCCACTCTGTCTTATATAAAAAAAAAGAGACAGATATTTAATACAACTTAGAACGAACACTCCATCTTTTTAGAACATCCTGCAGCAGCTACCTGAAACCTCACCATGCGTATCTTGTACTGGCTCTCCACACCTTGAAGCAGCCACTTACCTGCCCACTGGTGTCCTTGTAAGCCACCTGGAACTTGCAAGTTTCTGCCAGCTTCTCCACTAACTTTGTTTCTGGAAGCCAGCAGGAAATTGCAACCCATGATTCCTGCTCAGTGAGAGCAATGAGAAGTGTTGGAATTGCTGTCACTAAATGATGAAGTCATGTGAGATCACACATTACCATTCCGTCACTTAGCAATGGAAATTCCAGACCCTATTACCATTGTTAACCAAGGACTAGCTGTATTGAGATTACACTTCTACAGAATGCAGTTATAGAATTTCATTCATTCTTCCCTCTTCCTTATTGCCCTCTTATCACCTGATGATTAGGTGATAATTTTGTTCGCTGCCCAAAGTGAACAAGTGAGTTGGTGAGATGGGCAACTACACAAATTAAATGAATTAAAAAAAATAAAATTAACGTGCATCCCTATATAGTTGCTGTATAAATTTTTGAAAGCATAATTGTGCACCTCACTGCTAATGATACTTCCATAATGCTTAGCACACTTTCTGGTTTCCCACAGAATGGAGAGAGATCAGCAATCAGTAAAGACAAAGATATGTCTTCTCGGCAGGAATGTGCATGAATTACACTTCTAATGTTCATTATTTTGCAGACATAGTGGTGTGCAGTCAAATATTCCCCCCAAAACAATATATACTTAGAAAACAATACTTGCAACTGTTGCCATTGATGTTTTTCCTATCTTGAAGCTGAAACTAACGTTCTATTGAAACTGAAGAACTTGTATTATTGCCAATGAAAATGATACAGGTTATTGAACAATATGTCTCCTAACTAAAGTCAAACTTGACTCTGGGCCTCTGTGAAAACATAATCACAAAGTTCTATACATCTGCAAAATCAGCAGGAAGATTAGGAGAATATAAACATGTTTCTTGATCTACTCAACACTCAAGTTAAAAGCAATACTCACATCCAATTGTTCTTTTGTAGGTTCTGGTGAACGGTCTGGTATTGTCAAACCAGAAGGATCATCAAATGGATCATCTAAGATCACTGTATGATTTATTCTAAATTTAAAAAAATGTATTTAAAGAGTAAGTTCAAAATTCTATTTCACAATAATTTTGAGTATTAATTCACTGCTGCATCAAAAAACACCTATACAACAAAACTCATTTATCTGAAAACAAAATCTGTAAATTAAGCTTTCTTTCAAGTTTCACACTGACAGGATACATGTGTTATTATAAAACTCAGAACTATTACACACTTAATTGAAAGCCTTCATCTGGTTTATGCTGAAAGGAGATTCAACAATTATCCTCCAATACCAACAACCGCCTTCCAATTATATAAAATTTAGTTCATATAATTGTTCTCATCTACTACCAAATAGAGTTAAGAACTAATGTCATACATGAAAAATATGACAGCAAAAGATTTAGAGGAAACTAAAGAAACTCTTTTACTTCATGGCACATAATTAATTTATGTAATTCACTTCCACAGCAATTGTGACAACACTTGCTTAAAGAGTTTTGAGGTCATAGCAAATAGATCTACCAGAACTTTAGTGGTGATAGCACAACAGAAAAATTACAGCTACTTTTGATTTGGGTTTCAGAAGCAGAGGTAGTATTCAGCAGGCTCTGACCAATTATGGAGAACCAGTAGCGGAAATTTTGAGTAGTTTGGAGAACCAGCAAATACCATCTCTAACTGGAGATTTTACAGTATCTTTTCCCTACCACGCCCACCAAGCCACGCCCACAGAACCGGTAGTAAAAAATTTTTAATCGTATCACTGTTCTGAAGACTTTGATAGACACAACTTGCTGATTTTTAGCAATAGCACTTATATTCTGCTTTATACTGCTTTACAGCCCTAAGCAGTTTTACAGAGTCAGCATATTGCCCCCAACAATCTGGGTCCTCATTTTATCCACCTCGGAAGGATGGAAGGCTGAGTCAACGTTGAGCCTGGTGGGATTTGAACTGCCAAATTGCAGACAGCCGGTAGTCAGCAGAAGTGGCCTGCAGTACTGCTCTCTAACCACTGCACCACCGAGGCTCTTTTGTTTAATTCAGCAGAATTTTCCTTACACATTGCACTTTTATCAAGTGTAGAAGTAAAATAGTGAAACCTGATGTCTTGATATGGAACAAAATCCTTGTCGACAAAGGACTCATTAATTTTCATCAATACATCCATGCCTTCTGTTACTTCACCAAACACTGTATGCACACCATTCAGATAATCTAAATTTTCTCCTGTAGTAATAAGAAACTAAAAAAAAAAAAGAAATCAAGAAAAATAATGAATTGGAGTTGACAAATTAATGAAAATCTTCATCTACTCATTTCAGTCTATTGGTACTTTAGCTGATTTTGGTCTCATTCACCAGAAAATCTTCTGATATCACAAACTTTCTGTGATTTTATGCACTGAAGATTTTATATTGTGATGATTTCAGTCTTTCCTGGAGATTATTTCTGAGGATAAAAGAGATGACTGATTGTTCTCTACAGGAATTTTATTAGAGTTCCTCCAGATTAAGTGCTAAATCTAGGTCCGTGTTGGCAAACCTATGCCACACGTGCCTGAAGTGGCACGCGGAACCATTTCCCTGGCACACGATAGGTCGCCCGGAAGAGCCCTACTGCACATATGTGCGCTGCCGCCCGACAGCTGATTGTTGGGTATCTGGCACGCATGCACGGGGGCAGAGGGGGGTGCGTGGAAGACACGAGCGCATATGCAGGAATGAGCGCAGGGGGAATCGTGCGTGCATGCACAGACATGCTGCTCCTGAGGGGGAATCGCGCACATGCACAAAGATGTGCGGTGTATGAGGGGGAAACTGCATGTGCATGCACAGATGCATGGCACGCAAAGGGGAATAATGCGCGCTTGCGCAGGGGGCATGGGGAGGCCCCAGCACGCATTGTCTCCTGGGTGCTGGCATGCGAGTGTGCGTGCAATTATCGGCACGGGAGCCAAAAAACTTTAGCCACCACTGGCCTAGATTATTTAACTTGTTATAGCCAACAATGTTGAGATCTCGTTCCACTAAGGTTTTCAAAAAAACCCAGAAAACGATGTCATCTTACAATAAATCTACCATCAACGTAACTGAAATGGTTGAATAAGCTGAAGTTCAGTTTGGATGATATCAAAAGAATTCACCCAATAGTGTGACTTCACCCAATAGTGGAATAGCGAAGGAGTGGTCCATCTGCCAGAAGAACAAATTCTTTCTCTCAGTTCTCCTTCCATAATGTTTAAATTTGTTTCAGAAAGTGGAAGATTTTTCCAGAGTCATCAAGCAGAAGAAGAGTGGAAATAAAGTCATGAAAAATTTACATGAAATGGAATTCTACCTGAATTATGTTGGCTCTGGTTCAAAGCTGATAACCAAATTTCTCCCTTTAAGTGAGATCAATTATGCCTCCTCTGTCAGTCAAAATTGTTTTTATGCCTAATTCTATGTTTACCAACAGTCTTGTTTGATAACTGTCCACTTAAAATATGAAAGCATCTGGTATGCTAGTACTGCAGAATAAACACAGATTTTTTCCAATGCCAGTTTTTTTCCATTTTCAGTTTTTTAAATAATGTCACATCTGTGCTCTGCAGTACCTGTCAACTTCCATATGTCCTAATATGTTGACATGACTTTTTCACATCTGTGGACATACCTGAGATCCATGCTGATCACTCCCATTGTTTACCATTGACACAGTTCCCTTTTTCTTGTGTTTAATTCTTGGCACTTTCTCTGCTTCAAAAAATCTAGCTTGATCACCATACAATTTGCTGAAACATGTACAAATAAATTATCAATTGGAATAAATTGCAAAACTTTTAAGTACTATCCACGTGAGAGAGAAAAAACAACTGCAGCACAGTGCATGGAGAAGTACAAATTGACAGTTCTATTCATTGTTAACTTAATTTTATATAACTGAGACTACTTATTTATTTTTCATATCACCCCAATCATAAAACTCTTGATACTACACAAAAAACTTTAAAAATCTTAATGGTAATATACTGCATTAATCTAAAACCAGAATAATATGCCATACACATACAATTGCATTATGTTACACACACACACACAAACACACACACACATCCATCTTAAGTTACTTCTGAAATGTCAACCTGTGTTGGAGCAAATGTAATTTCCAGGGAAAGATTATTTCATAACAGTGACTACTGTATAATTGAGGCAATTCCTTATGCCTGAACTTAGCAATGGCAATAGCACTTAAGACTTATATACTGCTTCACAATGCTTTTCAGCCCTCTCTAAGTGGTTTACAGAGTCAGCATATTATCCCCAATAATCTAGGTCTTCATTTTACTGACCCCAGAAGGATAGAAGATTGAGTCAACCTTGAGCTGGTCAGGATTGAACTGCTGTCTTGCAACACTGCATTCTAACCACTGTGTCATCACAGCTCTTCAAGGAAATGAAGAACTACTAAATTATTTTCCCTCAGAAGTTCAGATTAGATGCTTATATCAAGCAATTCTAAGCATAAGCTGTCCTTGGTGCCAAGCCATTTAAGGCTTTTTAGGTTAAAACCACTTTAAATTTTTCCTGCATCATATATTGACCAAAGTGATTGATCAAGTGCATGAAGACTTTCACTATCATATTTTATTATTTATTCTTGTTCCAACTATAATTATCCAATAGGTAATCTAAATGAATGCCTATGCAAGAAATAGTAAATTTGCTGCACCCCAAAAGTTTTATGGACAACTATGTAAATAAAAACTAAACATTTACCAAAATATGGATTCACCTCCACGACCAGTCCCCAGGGGGTCTCCAGTTTGTATGATAAAATCTCTCTGAAACACATATAACTTATTATCATCATTTTTAAAATTCTCATGTTATTAAGAATATTCTGTGTGCCAATAATTACATAAGGCAGGCTATGCTATTATTTCTGTTTTACAACTGAAGAAATTTAAACATACACATGCATGCATGATTAGGAAGAGGACAATTAGCATATGTATCTCTTAGATTTAAATTCTATATCTACTATGTAAGATTCACAATTAAATTATTGTCTAATATATGAGAGAAAAGCAATGAAAAAAACCAGATATGCTTACTTGTACATTATGTATAAGGCAGTAATTGTAGTATTTGGTCTTGCAAAGCTTCAAGAAATTTAGACAAGCTAGAGGGAATAAAGATAAGACAATTGAAACAGACTACAGCCTTTGCCTAATAAAAGAAACAAGCTATTCTTTCATGCAAATTCAATAAATAATCCCCAGCAACAATCCCCAACAAGTTGCATAAAACAAAATGGCATGCCGTGAATAAATGTTCAGATTAAAATGACAGTGAAATATTATCTATTGTTTTTATCAAATCTTATACAAAAAGAGTATTGGAAAAAGGATTTATTTTCAACTCAGCAATCCACTTTTTTCTAAATGTGGACCATAGACCAGCAATGCATGTCATAATCTTTGAAGTACATCTATGTTAACATGCAGAGTGTCTTCTGTTTATATTAAGCAATCAATCACTGCATGTTTTGATACATGGGTGTTCAACCTTTTGGTTTACCTGGGTTGCAATGAGTGAACAGGAATCATCTGGGCAATATAAAATATATAATTAATGTATATAAATCACACAATGTTAAGTTTATGATCTTGGGGGGGCACATTACTAGCTGTCTTAGATCACATGCTGGACATGCCTGTTCTAATATGACCCGAATTATAGTGTCATGAATACATACTGTGCTTTACAAAGTGAGAAAAAGCAGGTCCTTGTCCTAATTAATTTCCAATCAAAGTTCAATAAGGTAAGAAGTACAAAGTAAGGTTAAAAAAATGGCAATGCAGTGGCAAACAGTATAAAATATATAGTAACTGAGTTAGACAAGGGCAGGATGTGCAAGAGTGGACTATCCACCGATGCAACATTTAGAAACACGAAAGCTTGTTAGAAAGCATAGAAGCAATGAGTTATTTTCCTTTTTATACAGACTTTGTTTCTATGCTTTAATAACATCTTGATGGATAAGAAGTTTATTTCTGAAGCTTTTCCTGCTATCTATGGGTAAAGAAGGGTAAGGAAGGGTCTTGTGGTGTAATCTATGAGAATCAAGCTGCTATAAAAGTTGAATAGGAATTTCAGTGGAAATTGGGCAGAAAAAGTTCTGCTTTGCATCTCAGAAAAAAAAAAGAAATTGAGAACCCATTAGTTAAGTTCATAAAGCCAAGCTGGAAAGTGAGAATTAGCTGTGTTTTACTGTGAAGTCACAGTAAAGCAAGACAGAGGAAAAATCCCATGTACTCAATGTATGCGGTTGTTTTTTGCCCTACAACCAATGCTTTTTCTTAAATTTCAGATAAAATACAACTCCAGAGTACTGATAAAACTGTCAAAACCGGGGTGCCATTTATCATCTTCATAATAAATACTGCATAAAGTTATTTTAAAAAATGGAGCCATCCCAAAATTAAAAAAAAAAATCTAAAAGAGCTTTTGCACAAATCCGTCCAGGTTCTCCCTGGAAAAAAACGATACAAGACTGAGATCTTTGGATCTCCTGTGGAAAAAAACAACTGGCATTAATTTCAATCTATGTCCCATCACCCATAGCCCCACCTTCTGAGACCACCCCTATCTCTGGGACCTTCCCAATCTGCATTTTTGGGTGCTTCAGATTCCGAGGCATCCCCAAAAACTATAACCCTCCCTCTCCTTTTTTTGTTTGGGTTTTTGCACAATGCGCAAAGGTTATGCTAGGTTACCCAAGCGCGGCAAAACCCTGCTGGAGAAGGATCGTTACATCGGAGTTTTTCTGCAGTTGCCCAAAGGTTTCTGGACCACAAATTGTCCCACGCGATACCCGCTGCAACGCCACTACCTCTCGGTCTCTCCTCCGTGTACAAATCAATCACTAGGTCTCCCAGCGTGGTCTCCAGGAGAACAGCCATGTCGCCACCTCCAGCCGCTTTTCCGCCACTGTTTCTTACTCCTCCGCGATCCCAGCATGCCTTGCGCTACCCCACTTCCTCCCTGGGTTTGACAGCTCTAGTCTAAGGCAAGCGGCGCCCTTTTCCAAGGCACGGGGACCGTAAACTTATGCGACTGTAGAGTAGCCCTTCAAGGTTAGTTTGGTCGGAAATCCCGGAAATGAGCGTGATTCGGAGAAGACGGGGAAAGTTTTTTTTTTTTTTTTAAGAGATGAGCTTTGGCAGCGACAGGGCTACTCAGGTCCGGCTGTAGGAAGGCAGCCGGCCTCGAACCAGCTGGTTTTCAGACGAGTCCACTTTCTAATTTGCTTTCTTAGGTAGTGTAATTGCTCCAGATACAGGGGGCCCACATTTTAATTTTTTTATCTTGCCTTTATTATTTTTATAAATAATTCCAGGTAGCTAATATACCTAACATACCTTGCCCCTCCTGTTTTCCCCACAAGTTACTCTGTGCTGTGAGTTGGGCTGAGAGAAAAAGAGGGAAGGAGGGAGAGAGGAAGGAAAGAAGGAAGGTGACTTAGCCACCTTTCATGTCTAAGGTGGGCTAGAACTTACAATCTCCTAGTTTCTAGCCTTGTGCCTTGAATACTCCACCAAACAGATGCTATTTGGCAGTTTGACCATACAAACACTTCAAGATTTACTTGCTTGCTTGGATGCTATCTAGATTTCTGTCCACTAGTCCAGGGGTCTCCAACCTTAGCAACTTTAAGCCTGGAGGAGCTTTGCTGGCTGGGGAATTCTGGAAGTTGAGGTCCTCCAGGCTTAAAGTTGCTAAGGTTGGAGACCCCTGGACTAATCAGTTGTGCTTTTACCAAGAAGGCAGGCAAACTTCCTGTCTGAAATCTCTGAGGATCAGCTTGTTTTGCAATTCCAAAGACAGCTGACTTCAGAAATCCTCTTTCTTTTCTTCCAAACAATTGGCTTTCTGTGTCAATTAATACAGAATTTTTGTGGGCTTTTTAAAGGCTGTAGATGTTGACTTTTTTTACATAGATAAACCTAAGAAACAAATTTAGAAAGAATATTATGTTGAGATCATACTACAGTGTTCTTTCCTGAGAACATGTAGTTTTCTTTCATGTGCAGAGAATCTTAAACAAGGAAAACAGTAAATAAAACGGGGTGAAACTATGTATGCTTTGTCAGCCTTGATAAACCTCTTGATTTAGTGATTATGAAAACTGGTTCAGAATTGATGTTCTACTCAAGATACTTCTTCTTCATTGCCTAAGGATCTATATTTAAGAAAATAGCCTATCTTTGAGTATGATTCACTAAGGATAAACAGATAAAAGACATTATGCTGCCGTTCAAATCCTAGTAGTAGAATGCTGATCTTTTTACACATTATTTTCTTAGGATCAATTTCATTCTTTATAGCCTTTTGGTTATTCTTTTTACTATGTAAATTGGGAGGTAAAAGTTCATTGATTTGCAAAATTCTAGAGATGTTTAAATAAAATATGGTTTAAATATTCATTTAGCATTTGGTATGCCATAGTATTCTCTCTCTATAAAACCAACAAACAAAAATCCAGTGTTTGAATACAGCAACATTTCCCACCAAGCAGAAAGGCTGTGCCTTATACAAAGCCAACCAATTATGGTTTATTGAATAAGCCATGATCAAACCACAGCTTCTTCTTATATGTATCATACATTAAAATAGTTCCCTTTCCTCTCTTTTGGAGAGCCTAAAAGCTTCCATATATTGTGTCAGACCAATCTTCCATTTATTCAGTAGTGACTCAGTGACTTCAAGGATTTAGACTCCTTTTTTTATAGCCCACAAGTCATTTCATATGCTTGGAACTGAACATGAGACTCTCAACATCAGCCTTAGGAAATATTATCCTGAATTAAAGGCTGTAGTGGTAGATGTGAAAGGCAATTCATATCTCAAGAGGATGTAAATCTTCCCCCTCTCTCATGTTTGCTTTTTATCATTCCTTCCTCTTGAGCTGCCAGGTAAACAGAGGGTTTGCCTCTGTCTATCATGACAGATTTAAATACTTCTGAGGCGGAGAAATATACATATGGTAGATGCTCTGCCAGTTTATTTGCAAATTGGTGCCTACAGTCCTCCCTGATTAGTGTCCCAGCCATCTTGCAGTGGCCAATCTGATATTTTTTTAAAAAAAACTAAGCAAAACCACATGTGTACTGTATATAATTGAGGTTGGCCTCACTACACCAAATGGGAAGGTCAAGGTTTTTTACGAGCATCTATACAGTATTTTGAACCAAACATACAGATGAAAACTACGTGAATGGGAACAGGAGGGAGCATGTTAATAATTAATTTATGATAAACAAGATCTTGAGTTTCAAGACATTTTTTATCAGGCTAATTGATTAAAGAAAAAATATTTTTAAAAAGGGGGCGGGGTGGGGCTAATCTGGTGAGGCTCAAATGCAGTTGGGGAGCAAACAGTGCCCAGTGCTGAATTCTTGGGAAAGTTGTAAAACCCAAAGGTGTTTTTTCAAGAGACAACTTCAAGGAAAAGCATCTTTGGAATAACCATGACCTGGATGACTGAGAATCTCCATAGAAAGTTGTAAAAGTATTTTGTTAATCAAGGATTGGCCTTAATACGAATTTTGTTTTATTTTTTAAAATTACCACCAAGTTTTTCTTTAGTCTCTTCTGACCTGCTACTGGTTCATCACGTCCAACTAAATGAAAGGGGTCTTATTGTGATGCGCTCCGCCAATCCTCGTTTTAAAGCCAGAAAGCTTTTTTTGCATTTGATCGGAGCGGGGCCGGGATGCGGAGGACGCTTGCCCTCCCGCCTTGATTTCCTTGTCTTCACTTCTTCAGAGGCATCCACCGAAGGGAAATCACTGCTACGCCGCCTTTTCCGTGCCCCGACCTTGGAAGCGCCTCGCCCCCGCTCGCCATCTCGGCTTGTATCGCATCCTTCCCGGCTATTTCCTTCTCCTGGGCCCGCCGGACTCCTCCCAGCTTCTGCTCGGCGCGTCGCCGCCTTTTGCTTTGTTGATGTTTCACTTAGTTTTAATGCGCAGTTCCCAAGATGGAGGCAGCGCTGGGGCCACGGGAGTTGCTCGGGCTGATGGCAGGGCTCCTTCTGCTGCCTCCGAGCCTTTTCGCCCCGAATCCGACAGCCGCCTTCTCCCAGGTGGTAAGCCAGGTAGGCAAGGGAAAGTTTCCTGGGAAGCTTCGGCTTCCGGCCCCGAAAACGTGTTTGTGTGCGTATGCGGGGTGTAGGGCTGGGGAGAAGAGAAAAGATCAGGTCTCCCTTCAAAGCCCTAAGTGGGGGAGCGGAAGGTGTGATTCGGCACCCCGCTTTGTATGAGTATCGGCTCATGGTGGTTTAGAAGAGAGATCTACTAAAGGAGGGACACGCAATGTTGCCATGCTGGTGGCTTGTCTGCCAAGTCCATTTGCAAAACTGAGTTCTGTAGTACGTGTCGGGATAACTAAGATTTATGCAGTTTGTATATGGGAATTCTTCTTTTCCCGTCTGTTTGGAAGGAGTGCTTTGTGAATTAATGATTTTACAAAAAGGTGTGATCCAGATCTTGTGTATCTGTGTGTGTGTGTGTATGTGTGTCTTGAATACAATACCCAGCATCTTGTCCTTTTAGATATATAACTTGCTACCATATTAGATTTTAATCTTTGTAGTAATGCAATTTGATTTGGGGGATTGAGTACTTTGTGTAATAAACCTGCTCTTTATGGAAAGAACAGTATGTTCTAAGAAGTCTGTTTCCGTATTTCTGTCTTTGTCAAACATGAATGAAATATTTCAGGCATTGTGATGCATTTGTTATCCTGTTGCCCTGGCTAAAGCAGTCACCTGTTATATTTGTCTTAGTTTGAAGTTTAAACATCACGGACTAGTGGTTTTAGACATTATTTCTAAATATTTGATGTAGTTAACTGTCATGATAATTGATTAAAGAACCCACAAACTCTATTGCACACATATAAAACATTTGCTTAGTTTTACTTCTGGTTTACCATGGAGTATTTTAATAAATAATTGACTTTATGGAGAGCTGTCAAAACAAAGATTACAGGTCTATATTTACTTAGCTGAGGTAGACCTTGATTCTCAGCCCTACTTTAATAACAGTAGGTTGTTTTTCAAAGCCATATGGGAGAGCCTCTGTATTTTACAGCAGGGCAGGAATATGAATTTGAGGATCATTCTTTAAAAGCAGAGAATCTCCCTACATCCTTAGTCCTGACCCCGTTTTTTGCCTAGGGTGATTCTTCACTATAGAGAAGATGATTACATGCAAGAGAGATGATAATTACATGCAAAAAAGGTGATTAAGTACAAGAAATGAAATAGCAGACCATGTTGGGATTCTTCTGCCTCCCTCCCTCCCTTAACCTTCAACCTCAGAGAATGAAGATGTAGAAGATACTCAGCATAAAAATAGAGTTTGCTGAAGGAAGACAATGAAAACCTGCTTCCAGACTATTGCCAAGAAAAACTACATGGATGTGTTTTGAAGGCATCAGGAGTCAAGCTTCATGCAGAAGGGGTTTTCCTTACTTCACTGCTCCACTCAGCCAACAAACCAAAAACTTTTGTTCTCAGTCTAAACAAAATATGGAAATACTTTATTATTTAAAAAATACTATTCATTGGTGTAAATGAAGAGATATCAACTTTACCTCAGACTTCAACGGTGGCAGCATAGTACTTGGATGGGAAATGTCCAGGAAATACCAGATTGGCATGATCAGAAATATGCTAAAGAAAGACAATGAAAACCTCTTTCAGACTGTTGCCAAGAAAATAATATGGATATCTTCTGAAGGCATCAGGAGTCAAGCTCATGCTGAAGGTTTATTTCCTTACTTCCACTTCTTCCAATGTATTTGCTTCTTTTCCTGATTGTTTTACTCAAGTTTATTCTAAGCAAGTAGTTTATCTGAAGATTTGAAAAGTGGCTGAAGAATAGTAGATTAAGCTCTCCCTAAAAAGACTGACAGCGAATTCTCTTTCCATCTACCATATTATATCTTCAAGGTATTGTATTCATTTCATGCCCGAGTTATTCATTTTGTAGCAAATGAGAATAAGATCTCTTGTTTTAGTCAGTTGTGGATGCTTCTGCTGATGAATGACAAATGTATCTAATTTCCTTTCCCAAATGTGAAGGCTCCAAATATCTTGATTGATTAGTTTGATCACAAAACCTCCTGGTATAATTTCTTTTCAGAAGGCAATTTTTTTAGAATAGAACTTCAAGCAGTTGTTAATAGGACAAGTTAAAAATATGAAAAGATAAACAAATATGTGCAGTAAATTGGTTCATGCAATTGTCGTGCAAGTCCACTGTTACACAATTCCTGTGCCTTTCCAAATATTTATGCAATAATGTACTTTCTCCCCTCTCCGATTTTTCTAAGATGAAATGTTCACAGCTGCCACATCATCTTTGGTTTGTTGAAATGAGTTGGTCATTTTTTGCATTCGAGTCAGAGAAATCACAGTGTAATCTAATACTCAGAATTATTGTGGAAAAGCCTGGAGAGTTTTGAAATAGAAGATGATTAAATGCACTAAGGAAGTACTTCCACTATGTCATACAATATAGATAGTATATATTTGGCAATACGAGGATTCTGGGAAGCCACAAGGGAGAAGAATTTAGTAGTCATTGTTCCGTAACTATAATGTGTAAAAAAAAGATAATGTGGTACTTACCGATTAAGGCAAGAAACTTTCAGATCCAAATTAATTTCTTTGATGCTTATGTTTTGTCTCGTGTATACAGTAGGCTTTTAAACTTTTTTGAGAGAAATGTGTTTAAATTAATAAGATTGCAAGCTGAAATTTTAATAGAGTAACTACCTATTTAGCAAGCAAGATTGTGTTGCCCTGATACAGGGATGTTAAACTCAAGGCCTGGGGGCCAGATCTGCCCTGCAGGGTGCTTAGATCTGGCTCATGGGGCCACCCTGGAAACAGCAAAGGACCAGCCTGAGGTGCCTCTGCCAGTGAAAACAGAGCTCAGGAGGGCCACGTGTGGCAGAAGTTTGCAGGATGCCACTGCAGCTGAAAATGGAGCTTGGGAGCCTGTTTTCGCTGGTAGAGTGCTCAGGCCACCATAGGTGCCCCCAACACAAGTGATGTCAAGCTGGTCATGCCCACCCTGGCCACGCCCATCGCAACCCCTCCCCAAGGTCAAACACAACCCTGGTGCAGCCCTCAATGAAACCAAGTGACACTCCTGCCCTAATACATGCAGCCACTTTACAAGTGTTCATGTTAGAAATTACTTAGAACATTTATTTTCATACCAAATAAAGCAGAGTAGAAAAATATACACGTATAAACTAGAAAATCTACATAAAATTGCTCATTTAAATTTGATTTCTAGGAATGGAAAACTAAATGTGTTAGTGCCAATTATGAAACAATATGCACAACCCTTCTTAAAAATAGATACATTGATTTGAGGAAGAGTTTGGTCTAGTGGTTAAGGCATCAAACCAGAAACCAGGTAACCAGGCCTTCTAGGCACCAAGCCAGCTTGATGATCTGGAGCCTGTTACTTTCTCTCCGTTCTAGAAGGCAATGACAAACCACTTTTGAAAAACCATGTCAAGAGAACTGCAGGGACTTGTTCAGGCAATCTCCAAGAATAAAACACAAATGAATGCAAAAAGGAAAAAAAGAATGTCTTCTTTTATGGTTTGGTCCCAGTAGTAAAAGCATAACCTGATTGGAGTTCTGCTCTGAATGTTACCTTTGGCAGGATTGAGTGTTTAACTGTGGCTGGTTGTGCTTTGTCTTCCCAGCTTCTAGCACTTTCTTCATTAGTTTTATCTTCAAAATAATACTTTATTTCCCTTGGAATGACAATTCACACAGAATGAATGGTCCCATGACTCAGCGCGCACACAAACGCTACTAGACACAAGCATTTCTCCCTAAAAGGTGATGATCAAAAGTCATGTATGTAAAATGTAGCCGGTTGGTTGGGAATCATTGTAGTGAAGGCTGTGGAGAAAGTCGTGCTTTACCTTTTCTTATGGAATTACATTGTGCTCAGAATTGTCTCCCAAACTACTTTCCATCTTCTGGCTATTGTTTCTTTTCTTTTTTTCTCTTTTCATTATGGTGGAAACGGAGTCTAGAGATTTTTGTTTGCAGAAATGGTTTATATAGAAAAGATGAAGCAACCCTTTTTCTTAAGATTGCTGCTGCAAGAGTCACTGAGTTCAATTGTTAGGGGGAGATATTGCCAATTTGGGCCATAAAGTGGAGAGACAGCATGAAGAAAGATGGAGAGAGATAGTCTGTGTCACGCTGAACATTGAGATAATAAGTGTCTTTGGAGTCACTGTGTGGGAAGATGATAGCTGGAGAGCGATGTACTGTATGTGCTGGAACATTGGAAATGGGCAGTTTCTATTTTCTGACCCCAGAAGAATGAAGATGTTGGTTATAGGTGAAAGAGAGAAGAAATGTAAAACCAGAGAGAGGAATGTGCTTTATTCCAAACCCAAAGTAGATGGAGGCACAGCCAGATGGATCGCTTCCTGCAAAAGGACACCTGGAGGAACTCTCAGACCAGGATAGGTTGGGCAGAAGACCTAGAGGGAGATGTATCATGCAACATTAATGCAGGGTGATGACTGTCAAGGTCTGAGAAAGCTGGAAGAAACCCTTTTAAGTGCACCGCAAAGTAACCCAGCTAATTCCCTCTCTCTTTCTCTCTCACTCTCCTTAAAAAGCTGTGGGAGAAGGAGAAGGGAAAAAAGGGAGTTGGCAGCTAAGCAGTGAAGTGAATGTTTATTGGCAAATACTTGTGGAAAGCAGAAAGAGAAAATTTTAAGATTTGTGAGAAACGGGAGAGAGGAAGAAACTGGCAAGTTTGGACACAGTGCTATAAATAGTTCTGCTTTTTCCCCAATTCCTGTAAATATATTTGCACATAAAAATACAAAAAAAAATCTTCCCTGGTCTTGGTCTTTGGGCTGAGATTCTACTGGTTCGGAAAAACTGGATGTTACATTTGCATCTGGTTCACCGAACCAGTATTTGAACCGACTAGCTGGCCCCTCCCCCCCCCTCCCAGGAGTCTCTACACAGCCCATTTTTGATGCAGGTAAGTGCAGGGTCCTCATGGAGGCTCTGGGAGGGGGAAAAATAGGCCTGTTTCCGGCTTCCAGAGGACCTCCAGAGCTTGGGGCAGACTGTTTTCGCCCTCCCAGAGGCCCGAGGGAAGCTTCCGGACCCTTGGGAGGATGAAAAACAGCCCTCCTGGAAGTTCCAGTAGGCCACCCCCACCATGGACATGCCCACCCAGCAACTGGGCAGTGAACCAACCGGTTGTTGAGATTTTTGAATCCCACCCCTGGGTAGGAGCTGTTCTATTTTATTGTGCGCACACAAAATCATAAAACAAAAAAGTACAGTCAGTCACACTATGGCAGTCGTCCTCCCCCCCCAAATATAAACCTGTACATTTCCCTTGCTTATCCACTGTATTCTTGGGAGTCTCCTCCGTGCATCAGTATTCAAGGATCTATTCTTGCTAGCCTGCTTCCTCACAGTCCAAGTTCCATAGAATATCGTAGAGAAAACTATTGACTGCATGATTGTTTTTCTTACAATCCAGTATGCATCAGCAATAATTTTTCTTGTTCCTTGGCCTGCCTAAAGTGAGGTGGAATATCTTGTATCTCCCTTTCCATGTAAGGTTGTAACCTGTGTTGAATGATGCTAGGTATTATTTTGCTAGCATGTGAAATTAAAGATATAATAGTTTGCACACCCAGTTAAGTTCCTTTTTTGTTGTAGGTTTATAGATTGACTTCTTCCAATCTGTTGGCCATTATGAGTTATTGGCATAATTGGTTTCAGTTTTTATTGAATCTTCCTCTTTTGCTTGCTTTATTTCTGTAGCTATTCCATCAATACCTCTTGCGTTCTGACTTAGTACAGGTAGTCCTTGACTTACGACCACAGTTAGGGCCAAAATGTCTGTTGCTAAATGAGACACTTGTTCAATTTTGAATTTTGCCCCATTTTAAAACCTTGTCTGTTATTAAGTGAATCACTGCAATTATTAAGTTAGTAACATGGTTGTTAAATGAATCTGGCTTCCCCATCAACTTTGCTGGTTAGAAGGTCACAAAAAGTGATCTCCTGATCCCGGGGCACTGCAACCGTTATAAATGTGACTCGGTTATCAAGCATGTGAATTTTGATCACATGTCCATGAGGATGCAGCAATGGTTGTAAGTGTGAAAAGCAGTGATGTCACTTTTTTCAGTTCCACTGTAACTTTGAACAGTCACTAAATGAACTGTTGTAAGTCAAGGACTACCTGTAATGACTTACTAATGATTACCGTGCTAAACTAACTTCATCCTCTATTACAGGGGTCTTCAAACTTGTTAGCTTTAAGACTTGTGGACTCCAACTCCCAGAATTCCTCCTCCAATCATGTTAGCTCAGGAATTCTGGGAGTTGAAATCCACAAGTCTTAAAGCTGTCAAGTTTGAAGTTTCTTGCTCTAATACTAAAGGCTTTTATAAATACAGTATTTTTTCTAAGATATCTTGGATGTTGATATCTCTATTGTATAGAATTTCAATATACTCATTTCTTATTTGTTGGATCCTATTTTAATCACTTACTATCTGTCCCTTGACGTACATTTACCAATTGTAGGGACTTTCTTCTGTAACCCAGGATATGGTTCCTACAGTGGAGATCTTTGGGAAGACCTTGTTTTTCTGTGTTTATGTTCATATTTGATATCTTTACAGATAACATCTTAATTCTGCTTCTTGTCTCTTCTAACAGCTCTCCAAAATTCTTTGTTAAATTCCTTTCCGAATTCTTTGTCTTCCTTTGCTTTTGCTTCTCTTCTTTTCTTGGCATATCTGCTGATTGTTATCTGGTTGTTTTCTTCTGATTTTTAGTCCTTTTAACTTTTCAGGGTTAGCAACTTGTTTGATTTCGTTTGATAGTCCCTCTGGTTCTTGATCCATGAGGTTGAGAACTTCAGGGTGATTTCTGATGTTCTCTTTAAAAATGACCCGCCTATTTATTCGTTTGCTTAATAAATATACGTGGTAACCCACCTTGTATTCGTAACCCTGGATAAAACTGGATAAAACATAATAAAAAACAATCAAATTTTAAAACAACAGAAATAACATAAAATAACATTGCAGGGAAGAACATTTAGTTAACATAACTGAGTTCATGCAATATACTAAAGAGCATGTTAGGAAACTAGCTGGTCATAAGTGTGAAAAAAGAGCCATAAAATCTTTTTTTCAGTGCTGTTGTAACTTCGAACAGTCACTAAACAAACTGTTGTATGTTGAGGACTACCTGTAGTTGGAGGGTACACTGGGATAATTGTCATGTTGAAGGGTTGTCTGTGAAGTCTAATTGATATTATTTAGTCCCTGATTGTGCTATATCCAAGTACAGGCCTTGCTATATTTTGTTCCTGACTAAGAAAGACGACCATTCCTTCTTAGTCCTAAGACCGTAGATGATTAATTTCATCTTCCACTGTTTTGAGCTTTCCATTATCATCATTCTTACGTTCCATGTTCCTATTGTAATTCTGTCTCTGCAATTTTGAATTTTCTTTTCCTGCGTGTTGAGTTGACAACTAGGCACCCTACATTTCTTAATTTAGTCACGTCATGAACAGATCGGTATTCTAAAAGATTCTCAGTGGTTTCTCTAGCATGACCTAAAGGGCTTATCATCTGGCATTATAGTGTCAGTCAGTTTTTATTATATATCTATATGACTCTCTTGGTAATACAGGAATTATTTTCCATTTGTCCTCCAGCACAAAACGAAACAATGGCTTTGACATTGTCACTAAAGCAATTATTCGCGTTTAGTATCTTCCAATATTGCTGCTGTCCAATATAGGTACCTACGTGTGTTAGCTGGGCAGCTGGAATGATGCCCAAGCCTTGAGAGATTACAGTAGAACCTCTGGTCATGACTATAATTCATTCCATAACTTTGGTTGGAACCAGATTTGGTCGTGACCCGAACCTAATTTTGGTATTTAGCACTTACAAAATTTGGCGCTTACAAAATAATGGCGTAAAAGAGGAAATCGGCTACACACAAAAAAATTGTGCATTTTTTGGTCAGAACCCGATTTTGTCATAGTCAGAAGTGTTTGTGACCAGAGGTTCTACTGTATAAGTTTTTGGCATTCTCTCCTGGATATCTTTGCTCATTCCTTATAGGAACATGCCTCCTCCCTCCATAATAAAGCAGCACAGCAAGACTTCAGAGAAACCCATTAATAACCTATCAAATTTCAATCCTGTTGATTTCAGTAGGTCTCTTTTAGAAATTAAGGTGGCTCAGTCAAATATGCATAGTAAAATTTTTGGTTGCTCATATTGCAATTATTGTGAGGATTATGCCACTAATTAGGATGAGTATATGTTGAATCACATAAGATTTACATGAACATAGCTTCTCATTATTTAGAGTTCAATCCAGAATGTATGGACAATTTGACTGCACACGTCAAGCCTTTAGTGATAGGCAAACACAGTAAATAAAAAACACTTTAGTTTTGGAATATTCTTTATTGATAGCAAAGTATTATAATAGAAAGCATATGAAAACAATTCTTCAGCTAATGTAATTAAGGCAAAGTTATTCTGAACCTATTTCTCACATTTTCCTCTTCCCCTGTATTTAGATTTTCTGTAGTAGTCCTGTTTCCATCTATATCTATTACATCTGACCTGCACTTTCCCAGGATCTGTTAGACATTTCAGTACAGAAAATCATCTGATTGTTTAATTTGTGTTCATGGACAGCATAGTATGCACGATTAGGTATAAAAGGCACTTTGGGATCTTATAGTTATATGCACCATACTGGCCCCTATTAATACTCTGTGGTCACTGAACCTGTTTATGGCATTTTGTTTCTCCTTCAGTTTTTCGACTCTGGTTACTTAGACACAGACTTTAGAAATGCTAGATCTTGACAGACCACATTGTGGATTGAAACATAAATTTGTCTCACAAACTAAGAATTGAATGAAGCACCTTATTCAGTTTATAACCTCTACTGAATATTTCTTTCTTTTTCTCTTTTTTCTTTTTCTGTCATTCCTTTATTTCAGGAAGACATCAAGATTAAAGTAAATATACTGGAAACCACCGGGGATATTCAGGAAAGACAGGTATTGTATTGTATGTTCAAATTCCTGGTACTTTCTTTAGCAAAGTCTTTTCTTTTTTCTATTGTGATTCATCAGAAGAAAATCAGCTTAAGGGTCTTTCTAGTTACTACAATACTGTGACTAAAACATATGAAGAACTGGGCTTGGCTAGTCTAGTGAAGAGAAGGACCAGGGGAGACATGATAGCGATCTTCCAATATTTGAGGGGCTGCCACAGGGAGGAAGGGATCAAGCTATTTTCTAAAGCGCCTGTACGCCAGACAAGGAATAATGGATGGAAACTAAACAAGGAGAGATTCAACCTGGAAATAATGAGAAACTTTCTGACAGTGAGAACAATCAACCAATAGAACAGCTTTCCCTTGGAAGTTGTGGGAGCGCCATCACTTGAGACTTTCAAGAAGAGATTGGACTGCCACTTGTCAGAAATGTTGTAGGGTCTCCCGCTTGGGGGTTGGACTAGATGACCTACAAGATCCCTTCCAATTCTGATTATCCGTTATCTTTCATCTTTGTTTCCCGCAAAATAAGATCCAACCGGAAAATAACTCTTAGCATGATTTTTCAGGATGCTCGTAATATAAGCCCTATCCCCAAAATAAATCTCAGTTAAGATCGTCAGCCAGTCGGATGCATTTAGTGCCATATTTTCCCGTAAATAAGACCTAACCAGTAATGCATCTTTTTGAGCAAATTAATGTAAGATCCAGTCTTATTTTGTGGGGAAACATGGTACTACAGTAAATATACCGAGTTGTTCATTAACATTTTAGGAATATTCAATAATTCCTTCCAATAAATAATTTGTTATATTTGTACTACCTTCTATGTGTTTATAAAAGTTAGAAGGTTATTTGTTGGGTTCCAAATTTGGTGCTTAATTGGCATTATTATATATATATAGCAATGTGCCTGAATGTATGCATTTTGTATGTGTACTTCTTTCAGACATAATAGTTGTCAGTAGTACATAGTTTTATACCATGAACTGACAGATTATGATGTCCTGTGGATAACATGTGGACCCTTGCTCAGCTTCTCTCAGTTGACGGTGACAACTGGCCTAGCTGTTTTTCACTGGCTGTTCCTGAGATAATACTGTTCATGTTCCCAACTCTTAGCTTCCCAACACTTAGCTTGGAGAAACTGAGGACATGGTTTTCCACTGCTGGTTAGAAGTCCAAGGTACCAGTCTTGAGTTAAAGGACTGATTTAACTTAACAGACTAATCAATAAAGTGAGAGTCCTTAGTGCTCTCTCAGCTTGGTTGTTTACTTGCAGATGTTTTATTACCCAAGCGAGGCAACTGTTCTGTTAATCGTGGTAAGCAAAACTGAGAAGCAGTGGCATGAGTATCTAAGTTACAGCCAGACATTAGATGGCTTCCTATCAAACAGTGTTACATTCTGCTTCTTGCTCCTCTTGCAAGACCTGTTTTTCCACACAGAGACACTTCACTGGTTATATTTTTAGGATACAATCCAAAATCATTAAAATCAGTGGCAATATACTGTAGTAAAGAGATCAAGCCAGTTTGGTGGAGTCTTACCTTAGGCACAAAGCCAGCTGGATCTGTTTCAGTCCTAAGAAGAAGATAATGACAAGCTGCATCTGAAATCTTACCAAGAAGAACAAACACAACAGGATAATAGAGTTGGAGGGGCGGGGGTGGGATTCATCTAGTCTAACCCTCTGCTCCATTTCAGATAAATGACTGCCCAGTCTCTTCTTAAGAGCCTCTAGCGATAGAGCACTCACAACTTCTGAAGGCAAAGCCATTCCACTGATCGATTGTTGCCTCACAGTTATGACTGTGCAGGGATTTGGCCAGACAGTCACCAGGAATCCATATTGACTCAGGGGGAACACACACAAAAAAGAACAACTAGTGAGGGATCAGTATGTGATGATCTTTAATTCGTTTAAAGGATGAAAGCATAACGATGGCAAATTTATCAACACATTTGGATGGTAACTGATTTTGAATCTCTTATATTTATGACTTACTGTGATAATTGCTCTCATGATTATGTAAATTAAACAAAACTTGGTCAACCTTGTATCTTGAAATGTATAAAGCTCCCTTTTTATAATCCTGTACATTCAATCTATGTTATTCTATGGATTTTTTTTTAGGTTGTCCTTAATATTACTTATGTGAACGGTCAGGTGTATGTAAATGACTTTCCACTGAAGAGCGGAGTCACACGGATAAAATGTCAAACTTTAATCTGTGAGTAATTCTTAATTCCTTATCTGGATTGTATGTTCCTCTATAACTCTATAGAGGTAGTCCTCAGCTTATGACTTTGATTGGGACTGGGTCTTCAGTTGCTAAGTGATGTAGTCACTGAGTCATGCCAATTTTATGACATTTTTTCTGCATTTGTTGAGAGAATCATTATGGTCATTAAACAAATCTGGCTTCCCTTTTGGCTTTGCTTCTCTGAAGCCCCCTGGAAGGTCACCGATGGCAATCATGCAACCCCAGGATGCCCCAGTCATCATAAATGTATGCTAGTTGCCAAGCACCCAAATTCTGATCATATGACTACGAAGAGGCTGTGACAGTGCTAAGTGTAAGGACTGGACATGAATCAGTTTTTTTATTACCATTGTAACTCTGAATGGTCATTAAACTAATAATTGTAAGTTGAGGAATACCTTTAACTGTTGTTTGCGTCCCCAAAGTTACTTTTCGTGAGTTGGGCAGGCATATAGCAATAGCACTTAGACTTATATACCACTTCCCAATGCTTTACAACCACCTCTAAGCGACATATTGCCCCCAACTATCTGGATCCTCATTTTACCAACCTCAGAAGGATGGAAGGCTGAGTCAAGCTTGAGCCAGTCAGGATCGAACCGCTGGCAGTCAGCAGAATTAGCCTGTAATACAGCATTCTATCCACTGCGCCACCACGGCTCCCCATCACTAAAAAAAAACCCCTCTGCATATAAATTAGTAAAAATAGATTATTTTCATTTCTAAAGAATTCAAGATTATTTATTGGTGATTATTTCTAGTTTTGAATTAATTCAGGGTAAGTTCATTATTGTGTCTATAATCGAATACAAATGGAGATTAAGAGCTGATTTTAGGAAAGCCCTCAGCAAGTTCCTGTTTGGTTAATTGAATTGTGCCGCAGGCTGAGATGTAGAAATTCAAGGATGTGACTCCACCCTGATAAGTCCTGTCCGTCTCCTCTCCCACCCAGCCCACATCCAGCCGAGTTGGTGAAGGAGAAAAACAGCCTGGTTTCAGATAATCTTAGCAAAACACTTTTTAATGAGACTTTCCTATCATATTTTCTGTAAATAAACAATAGGGATTTTTCTTGAAAGGATAAAAGAATTACCCAGCACATACAAATTTAAAATGATACTTACTAGAGGAAGCAAAAATTCTGGTTTGTTTACTTTTTTGCCATTTTGTGCCTTACATTGAAAATAAAGATCCTGATTGGATACCTAAGCGTAATTTATGAAGCCACAGCAATTATGTGCTATTTACAATTTTTTTAATATACTAAGTATTTACCTGATATACTGGTTGGGACAAGTTTCAAGATTAGCTACTAATCTACTCAGTACTCAAGGACTTGCTAATACACTTTAAAACTGGTTCTTAACAGTTTAGGGCAGGGATGTCAAACTCAGGGCTCCCAGGGTGCTTAGATCTGGCCAGTGGGGTTGCCCTGGAAATAGTGAAGTACCGGCCTGGGTGCCTCTGCCACCAAAATCAGAGCTCAGGAGGGCTGCGCACGACTCTCCCAGGCTCTGCTTTCACTGGCAGAGGGCTGCAGGAGGATCCCCCCCAGCCCCTCCTGGGACACCACAGGTGCCCCTTGACATGAGTGACGTCAAGCTGGCTATGCTCACTCCGGCCACGGCCGCCATGGCCATCCAGCCCCCCGAGATCAAACCCAACCCTGATGTGGCCCTCAGTGAAATCGAGTTTGACACCCCTGGTTTAGAGCAATTGCATAAAAAGATGCTGCAGAAGAAGTGAATCCCAATAGTGGATCATTGTGGCCTTTTAAAGGGAACTGTGTTTTCCAGTGTTAAACTAGATCTAATACAGGTAATCCTCAACTTACAACCATTCATTTAACGGCTGTTCATAGTTCCAGTTCCATTGAAAAATGTGATTTACCACCAGGGGTGGGATTCAAATTTCTTAACAATTGGTTCTGTGGGTGTGGCCTAATTTGTGGGTGTAGCTTGGTGGTCATGTGACTAGCTGGGCATGGCTTGCTGGCTGGGTGTGGCTTGGTGGTCATGTGACTGGCTAGGCATGGCTTGTATGTAAATATTATAAATATTTATGTAAATATTGAATTTTTTATTAAAAAAGAGCAACTTTTACCGCAAATCAGGCAGGCAGATTGAATTGCTCACAGAATCACAGATTCATTCAGAGATCTATCTTTCTGCCATCGGCTCATCTGATTCTGTCACATAAAATTTGCTTGCAAGCAAACTCATAAAATTAATTCAGAACACACTATGTATGTAAATATTGATTTTTTTTTTTTATTAAAAAAAGCAACTTTTACCCAAAACCAGGCAAAGCAGGCAGGCAGATTGAGTTGCTCACAGAATCACAGATTCACTTAGAGATCTCTGTTTCGGCCATCTTCTAGCTGAGTCTGCACTGAATAATAGAAGCTTCAGGCTCAGCTGTTTTTAGAGTAACTAGAAAGCAAGAAATCCAACAATTTCCTGCTTTCTAGCTAATCTAAATCTCCCAGCACAGCAAAACAGCTGATGGTCGGGGGGGGAGGGGGAAGGAAAAATAGCAACTTAGCAGGCAAGTTTGATGGCCCGCATGCCAGGTAAGGAGTGAGTGGGCGGGGCGGGGCGATTTGCCAATTCTCCAGCAGGTAGAATCCCACCCCTGGTGAGAGTGCGTTTTGCACGCGTGTGTAGACCATTTCTTAAAAGCCATCAGCTGTGCTGCGTGGACAGCTGATAAGTGCTGTGCATGGGTGTGCAGCGTTTGAAAATCCTCTTCTTTCTTGCTTTTTCAACCTCAGCTGTGCCACGCAGCTGTGGCAGGCGGGTAGGCCAAACAGCTTCAGAGCTACTGGTTCTACAGAACCGGGCTGAACCGTAGCATCCCGCCCCTGTTTACAACTGGTCCTCACACTTAACTGTTGTAGCACCCCTAGGGCTACATGATCAAAATTTGGGTGCTTAGTAACTGCTATGTATTTACAATCCTTGCAGCATCCCGGTATCATGTAAATTGCCATTTGCAACCTTCCTAGCTGGTTTCTGACAAGTAAAGTCAATGGAGGAAACTGAATTCAAATTATGATTGCATGGTTCATTTAATAACTGCAGGGATTCACTTAACCATGGCAAAAAGGGTCATAAAATTGGGTGTGACTGACTTAACTTGCTTAGCAACAGAAATTCTGGTCCCAATTGTGATCATAAATCAAGGACTTCCTGAATAGACATAATCTAAAGAGACAAAGTCCTTCTTGATTAATGGGGCTTTACTGTGGAAAAGTATACATTACATTTAGTTCTCCAACAAAATTTCATTTGATGTAATATAGTAACTATTTTTATTTCTCTGAATTTCTATTCAATTCTGAAGAGAATCATGTGAGTTTGAGAACTCCTGATACAAGGTGTTATGTTTTTCTCCAGATATAGGAAGCTGAATGTTTGCCTACAAATCATCACAGATTTTACTGGATGGAATGGAATGGGAGGAAGTTTGATTAGGGAAATTCAGGACTCATAATACAGAAAGCCATGAAAACAAGTCCTTGATACTACAAAACTGGATCTCAGTTCAGTGGTGCATAATAAATGCCAAGGCTTCTGTGCCACACAAACATCTTGAATGATAGTTGTATTCTATGCAAATTTAATTTAATACAGTGGCAGCAATAATTACTATTCTTCTACTGAAATCAGTGTAAGTGCAGTGATGGTATTCTACGGGTTCGGCCCAACTGGTAGCTCCGAGGATAATCTGTGAATGAATTGGTTCGCTCCGACAATCAGCTGCTGGGCCCTCCCACCCACCCTAGCTCTACACTGACCTTTTCAACCTCAGCTGCTTTGCGCGGCACAACTGATTGCCGCGCGTCAGCTGTTTTACACACAGGGCTTGCAGCAGAAGGTGAGCTGAAAATGATGCGCATGCGCAAAGCACGCATTTAGTGTGCAAAGCGCGCGCTCATGCCAAACCGGTAGGAAAATGTTTTGAAATCCACCGTTGTGTAAGTGTACATGGCTGGAGAGGAAAAGAAGTTTGGTGGTAGCATAGTAGTAGTGAGCTACATAATCGAGAGAAACCTACGTTATATACAGGAGGAAAGTTTCCATTTGAAAATGACGAGAAAATAGTCCAAGAGTTTGTCACTTTATGTGCTATTCCATATGTTGTATAGGGGCTTGGATTATGGATGCTTTAGTTTGGATTGAACATGTTAAATGTAAATCTAAATACCTTCTGTCAACTCTTTTGTACAGTGATTTCTGAGGCCCCTATAGGAGAAGGAGAACTGCTGGATTTTCTAATTTTTCCTTTAGGTTATATAAAGAGTGGTTATCAGTGGTGGGATTCAATTTTTTTTACAACCAGTTCTGTGGGTGTGCCTTGGTGGACATGGTGTGGCTTGGTGGGCATGGCAGGGGAAGGATACTGTAAAATCTTCATTCCCATCCCACTCCAGGGAAAGGATACTGCAAAATCCTATTCCCTCCCCACCCCACTAACCTGCTTTCCAGCTCCGTTCTCCTGTGCAGGGCAACAAAAGAAGATCCAGCCAATCAACTGGGACTCGGGAGGCAGAGAATAGATGGGGGCGGGGCCAGTCAGAGGTGGTATTTTTCGGTTCTCTGAACTATTCAAAATTTCTGCTACCGGTTCTCCAGAACTGTCAGAACCTGCTGAATACCATCTCAGGTGGTTATATAAAGTTAGTTTATCCTAGCAATTCAGTAGCTTCCACCAAATAGTATGGAGAGGGGCATTCGACTTAACTCAATTAGTGGAAGAACTTACAGAGCAGATTTGGGAAAAAGAAACTACCTTCAGGGCAGGGGGGAAGAAAAGAGAGTGGGAAAGTGTAATTGTGCAAAAGATGATCTTTGTAGAAGACAATCTACAAAGTAGAAAATATTCCTGTTTCCATTTTAATAGTCTAGCCCTCTGTCATTTCTCGTAAAAATGTAGTAACTATGAAATCTAGTCAGTGATATTCCACACTGAATTGCAATATGGCGTCCAATCCAGTTTGCAATACTATTTTAATGTGTAACTTGTTTCTAGAGATTTTGTTTCTCTGCCTGGCCACTGTATGACACACAGTTATTTCTTGATAGTGAAGAGTGAAAACCATGATACCTTAGGAATTGTCAGTGTTCGCATTATGATCCATGAGTGGCCATTGGCATCCAGCTCAAACTTGCGATTAATTGTTGTTCAAGAAGAAGTGACAGATATAGATGAAAAGCAGGTAAGTATCCTTTTTCTAAATGATTGTATTTACTAGCTTACATATAAATCCACAGTGGAAGATTGTTTTTGCAGAACAATTACACATTTTAGTTCTGTGGCCAACAAACTAAGAATACTGCTGTCTGATGTTATACGGTTCTGTGTCCTTCTTTTGTATCAGAATATGTACTTTTTTAAAATTAAAAAGCCCTAAAAGGCAAAACCCTTTATATATTTTTGTGATTTTACAGGAATTTTGACAGTATTTATATAATCACATTTTAAGAATGTTTATATATATTATGTATCTCCAGGAAATGGAGGAAAGGAAATGGCTAACTTTTTAAAAGCAGCTACTTTGTACAGCATGTGAATTATTTTGTTGTATAAGGGTAAAGGGTAAAATCGCCATACACTGAGCTCAATTCTTGGTGACTTTCATGGATATATCCTTGCAGTTTTCTTGTGGACAATATAGAGTGGGATTTTTTTTTAACTTCCCAATCTAATATACAGTGATGATCTTTCATGATGATCTCTCTCATCTGATTATTAACCAGGACTGCCCATAAAGCTTCCAAATCCAGACAAGATCTGGCTAGTGCCAGATGCTCAGACTTTGTTGGCGTAGACATCCTCAGAATTATTTTTAAGATCAAAGATGATTCTAAGATTTGCTGCTGGTTATTATTTACTTGTTTTCACTTATGAAACGTGGGAGAGAGTAAAGATCTGGATAGTTAAATTTGAAAATCCTAATAGCACACATTTATCTTTATCTATCTGGAGTTAGCACACATTCTGCCAGCATTGAATAGGATCAGTCAAGACCTCCATCTGATATTCCTAGTATTAACAATATCCAGTAATATTTGTCTTGTCATACATTTACTCTTTGTTGTTCAGAATCTGGAACAAATATGCTTTCCTACAACTTCCTTTTGAAGCAAACCCTATCCATAATTTAGACCGGTTCTACTTAAAATTCCCATGTATAATTAGACCATGAATCATTTTCATTGCAAAGCTTATGGAAAAGCCTTCCTGTGGAACACAAATCCTTAAAAATAGTACAGGAGAATTCCAAATAACATACCTGTTTCAGGTTGATTTTATTTTGAACTTGACCACAAATGTCCACCACATATCATAGAAAGGAGCTAGGAAAATAACAACTTCCTTACAGTTGTCATATGAGTTGGAGGAATGCATGCCCTGCTAACTAGCTTCAAGAACTTGACCACTTGTTTAGAATATACTTTTTAAATTCTAGAGGAGAAAACTTACCTTGTCCAATTACATTGTACAGTTCTGGGATGTTGGATTATTTTTAGTACCATGTTTCTCCAACAATACGCGCCCCCAATAGGAAGCCAGCATGTTCTCTAGGCATAAAATGAAATTAACGCCCCCCCCCCAAAAAAAAATTAGGCCTAGTTTAAAACATGCGAAATTGGGGGGGAGAAGGCGGGGAGGGAACTTGCCATTAGGAGTGCTAAAAACGGCTAGGACATCTTTTCAGGGGTGAATTAATTTCTTTCTCCACTCCTGCATACCCTCGCCTAGGGTGCCACGCGGGCAGATACGCCTCACCATCACCCTCTCCTAACAGCCAATCATGGTGGAGCACTGAGGGCTCCCTTACCCCCACCAAGCGCTGAAGACCCGGGTCAGCGGGCGGGCAGGGATGTCTGCTGGCAGCATTTCAGCCGCTTCTCGGGCCTCCGTAGCTTCCACGGTTCCCACCAGTGCTGGCGCCTCTCTCACCAGCGCCGTCTCCAACAACAGCGTCTGAGTCGCTCCCGCTTTCCCCCGTCCCCGTAACAACGGGAAAAAACACATTTTGAGGTACCTGGGAGCGCCGCGTGCTGCATTTTGGTTTAATCCCGAGCGGCTGGGTGGGCGTGAAAAGAGCCAAGCGAGTGTCTCTGCTGCTGCTACCCTTGGTGCTCCAGCCTCGGGCTCTGCAAGTTTGCAAAAGTCCAGGTGCACAGCCCGTTCCTGCATTCTAAGCGCGCCCAGGCCGAGCTGCAGCTGTCCCTCTCTCGCCAGTGCTTTCTCCAACAACAGCAGCAGCAGTGGTGGGAACTGTGGAAGTTATGGAGGCGGCTCCCCCACCCAAGAAGCGGCTGAAACGCTTCCACGGTTCCCACCGCGGCACTCCCAGGTACCTCAAAATGTTTTCTTTTCCCTGTTGTTACGGGGACGGGGAAAAAGCAAGAGCGACTTAGATGCTGTTGTTGGAGACAGCGTTGGTGAGAGAGGCGCCAGCACCGGTGGGAACCGTGGAAGCTACGGAGGCCTGAGAAGCGGCTGAAACACTGCCGGCAGACATCCCTGCCCGCCCGCTGACCCGGGTCTTCAGCACTTGGTAGGGAAAAGGGATTGGCTGTTAGGAGCGGGTGATGGTGAGGTGTAGCTGCCCGCATGGCTCCCTAGGCGTGGGTGCGCGGGGGTGGAGAAAGAAATTAATTCACCCCTGAAAAGACGTCGTAGCCGTTTTTGGGGGGCTCCAAAAAGAAATAAGACCTGGCCTTATTATATGAGAAACATGGTATTATCACTGTTTATGCAACACTTTTAGACGAGTGGATAAATAGATCAATTCTGCCAGGAAGCAGCCTTCAGATTGTTTAATTGCCGAAGTATTCAAGACTTTCTCCTTTCTGATTTTCAGTGAAGAGATGAACCCTGACTTTATTTTATTCTGGAGGCCTCCCAGATTGTCTGGTGATAAATGTTTCTCAACTACAGTGTGAGCCAAAAAGTGTCTTTACTAATAAGATTTTTTATTGCAAGAAAGGTTCCAATAGACAAGAATCAGGGATAGTCTTCTTGTTTTTAGATTCTTGGTTTATGAATTCAGTTTTGGAGAAGTTCTTCTATCTTCCATCATTCAACCATGGAATATTTGATGCTGTCTATAAGTCCACTGAACTTTCATGCAACTCCTCTTCTTGGGGAGAATCATTCATAATCATTCAGCATCTTAAGCACAGTCACTCCAACCAAAGCTCCTAGGTATCTGTATTCAGACACAAGCCCCACTAGTTCATTTGTTTCCAGTTAATCAGTTTCATTATTTGGTATGGTATTTGGACCACTGGGCTGCAAACTTCTCATCACATAAAAGTTGCAACAGCAAAATAGCCACGAGTCTTGTTTTTGGTCGAAACAAAACAAAACAAAATTCATTGTTACAAAAGCAGACAGTTCTTGCTTACTGTCTCATTTAACAACCATTGGAAGTTATGATGATGTAAATAAATTTTTTGCAACCAATGCTTGCATTTATGACCATTGCTGGGGTCTTGTGATTGCTATTTGTGTACTTCACAACAGTTTCTGACAAACAGGGTAATGAAGACAGAAGTAAAATTGGAAGTTGCAATTGTATGATGTCTTGCTTAATGACTGAGTGGGAAGTATTGTTGTAAGCCTGTTGTGGTCATATGATTTTTTGCTTAGTGACTAGTGTTTGGCAGCAAATTTGCTGGTCCCTATTCTGGGTGCTAAGCAAGGACTATCGATAATTAGGAAACAAACTGAAAATAAAATGCTGTTAGAATTGAATATTGAGTACAGGTTGTCTTCGAATTATGACCACAATTGAACCCAACATTTATGTTGCTACGTGGAACATTAGTTAAGTGAGTGTGCTCTATTTTACGACTTTTCTTGTCACTGTTGTTAAATGAATCATTGCACTTGTTAAGTTAGTACCATGGTTGTTAAGTGAATCTGGCTTCCCCATTGACTTTGCTTGTCAGAAGGTCGCAAGAGTGGATATAATCCACTGAGCCCGGGACACTGTAAGTGTCATAAATATGAACCAGTTGCCAAGCATCTGAATTTGGTCATGTGATCATGGGAATGCTGCAATGGTCATAAGTGTAAAAATGGTCATGTCATATTTTTCAGTGCTGTTGTAACTTTGAACGGTCACTAAATGAACTGTTGTAAGTTGAGGACTACCTGTATTTCTTGTCTGAGTTAAGGAGAGTTATCTTGAAGTACTCATCTCTAATGATCTAAGTGCTAGAGCCCACTGTAACTACATAGCCAAAAAGGCATTAAGAGTTGTTGACCTAATCTTACGTAGCTTTTTCTCTGGTAATATTACACTAATAACTAGAGCATACAAAACATTTGCTAGATCAATACTCGAATATAGCTCATCGGTCTGGAACCCACATTACATATCTGATATTAACACAGTTGAGAAAGTCCAGAAATATTTCACAAGAAGAGTTCTCCACTCCTCTACTCGTTGCAGAATACCTGATGCCACCAGACTCGAAATTCTATACCTAGAAAACCTAGAACTACGCCATCTTCGATTCAATCTAAGTATAATATATAAAATCATAGATTGCAATGTTCTACCTGTCAATGAATACTTCAGCTTCAACCATAACAACACAAGAGCAAACAATAGATACAAACTCAAGGTTAATCACACCAAACTTGATTGCAGGAAATACAACTTCTGCAACAGAGTGGTCAATGTCTGGAATACTCTACCTGACTCTGTAGTTTCTTCCCCAAACCCCAAAAACTTTAACCTTAGACTGTCTACTATTGACCTCTCCCCTTTCCTAAGAGGTCTGTAGAGGGCATGCATAAGCGCACCAACGTGCCTACCGTCCCTCTCCTATTGTTTCTTTTATTTTTTATTTTTCTCATATGTATCCATGTATTCATAGCTATGTTTTTTACTTATACCTATTATCTTGTAAGCAATTGACAAAAATAAATAAAAAAATAATCATCCCTTTGAGGTGATAGAGTAGGAGTAGGAAGATCCAGGTGCCAGTGAATCCTTCACAGGAAAAAAAATCACTAGATGCCTTAGAGTCAGTTCTTCTTTTCAGATGAACTGATCTGACATGAGGTTTTTGCTGTGAAGGAAAAAAAAAATAAAGGGATAAAATATTATTTCCACCTCTTACGATGAAGATGAAATATTTATCTACATAATTGGTATGCTGCCCATTCCCAAAGTTATAAAATTATCATAAAATAAATAGCCCCCAAATAAAAAGAAAGCCTCCAAATATGAACAAAAATTAACACTGTTAAATATTGTAGACTGGGGAATACGAATTTATGTGTCTTCTGGAGTCCCATCTTTAGTCACAATTTACTTATAACTTTCTAAGTAAATAATACAATAGTAACTCTTGGGTTATAGATTATTTTGCCTCTAAAAAGATTCAGAATTCATTTGTAATTCTCTTGATCGATTATTTTGAAAGGCAGCATTCTACTTTTTTCTTACATTGTTTCTCACTGAGAAAATATAATCCATATTGATGCTAGAAATGGTGCCATTTGCCTTCCCTCTTGATATTATACACAATATACATGATATGATGTTGATGATGAATAACTAACGGAGGGCATTTCCTTCTAGTATTTCACGTACTTCATGAGGTGAGGGAAAAACGGGATAGGAACACATTTAGCTGTCACTTAAGCAAAAGCAACTTTTCATCTTGAAATCACTTCTTGCAATACTTGCTCTTTTCTGTCCAACTTTAAAAAAAGCTTGACTGTTTTCCACACCGTTCCCAACATGTGTAGATAAGAAAGGGGCTCCCATTGTTACACTTCTTTTGCAGGTTAAACAAGACGAAGTGATAGAAATAGACCTATTGGTAAAGGATCAGCAAGTCCTGAGACATACAAACTACACCGTTCCTCTGGAGGAAAGTATGCTGTATTCCAGCCCAAGGAACAATGATATTTTGTTTACGCTTCCAAACTTTGCAGGAAAAGGTACTCAGTCTTATTGAGCTGCAAGAATTGGATTTTGTTTTATTTATTTATTCATTGAGTTCTTAATACCCACCCATCTCATGTAAGTGATTCTTAGTTTTTTTTTTCTTTAAAAGATGCTATTGAGTTTATTTCTTGCCATTTCACTAAGGGTTCTGACTTCTTAAAAAACGTTCTTCATAAGAGAGGGAGTTGATTAAATTCATCGTTAACTGCATCTGGACTCTTTCAGTGTTCATGGACTTTTTAAATATGAACTTTTAAAGAATATCATAGCCTGGTAAACATACAAAATAATGCAAACAATGACCAAAAAGTTCTCAACCTCATATTTAATGACTCCACCACGCAAAAAAAGGCCACACCAACAGCCATAAACTGGCCTTTCTTTTATAGGCAGGTCAAATTAATATGCTTTCTACTGGCTTATATTTATTTATTTGTATTCTCTCATAATGTTCTTATTAAAAATTAAAACATGAGCCAGATCTATGTTTCTTTATTAGCAAGTTTCAGATTTGTGTGGACTTCAGTTCCTAGGGGAATTGTGATAATTGAAATCCACGCATCTGAAAGTTGCTGAGGTTGAGAGACCTTGGACTAGAACTAGATGATAGCACAGTTGGCTCAACCAGCCTACACAAAGAGTGCTCATTAAGAGGGCTTCCACTTTAGCTTGGAGGGAAACATCAAGCCAAGGACCAGAAGGGTCTGTCCTAGCCTCTGTGTTGTTCAACACTTTTATCAATAACTTGGATGGTGGATCCTTAGCAAATTTTCAGATGTCATAAAACTACCAGTAGGAGATCTGGTTAAAACTTTAGATGAAAGATTTAAAAAAATGATCTAGGCAACTTAGGCAGTGGGCTGAAATGAATAGAATGGAAATACGTAAAATTCTACATCTTGATAGGAAAAATGTAAAGCCTTAGCATGGGACGGAGGAAACCTGGCTTAGCCTGTCTTGTGAAAAACTCCCTTGTCAATCGGAAGTTAAACATGAAGCAGCATTTATACAATTGCTTGGGATATTTTAAGGAGAGCACCAAGTCCAGATCACAAGAAGTAACTGTTCTATTTCATTCCTCTGTGGTCAGACCCCATTTGGAGTAGCGGGCAGCAGAATCCAAACAAGACAAACTGGAGCAAGTTCAAAGGAGGGCTTGCAAAATAGTGCTGGGTCTGGAAAGGATACCCTATGAGGAACAGTTAGCAAATCTGGATATGCTTAGCATACAGAAGAGAAAATGGAGGGAGATGAGATAGTCTTCAATAAAAGTGATTGGACTTGGACATATTCTCTTAGACTTTGTGCCCCAGAGAGCAGGCCAGAACCAAAGGGTTAAAACTACAAGGAAGTAGCTTCAGACTTGATGTTAGGAGGAACATCACCTCTATGCAAGCTGTCAGCCAGTGCAACAGGCTGCCACATAAAACAATGACTTTTATTTTGCCGGAGGACTTCAAACAATGGCCGGTTAATTTCTATCAGAGATTTTCCAAGAAGGGGGTTGGAATAAATGACCAAAAATCTATGCCAACTCCATAATTCTATAAAAGTTTTGAATAAGTTTTACTTTTTGAACTGTTATTTCTTGTCCTTACTCTGCTTCTTTTTACTGGCTCACGGTATGATTTTTTAAAAAAAATAACCAACAAACCAATGAACCTGTCTTCTTGACTTTTGTGAAATAGATGTTGAAAGTCCTCTACAAACAACCAGTCACTATCTTCTCAGGCAAGTAGAAACCACTGTGGATGAACAGACAATGCCTGGCAAATTGCCAGAGACTCCACTCCGAACAGAGCCACCGTCATCTTATAAGGTAAATGTTTTGTCACGATGATTGTGAAAGGCAATTATCACGGTCACCTAATGTGAGTTAACGGATGTGTAAGGAAATTATTGGTGCCTTGTGTATCTGGTATCCCCTCAGTCACTCTATCAAAGAAACGAAGTCCCACAAAAATGAAAAAGGCACGGACACAAGGTGGTAATTAGAAGGGAACTAAAAAAAGCGCAGATAGGGTTGCAGCTGTGCTTGAAATCCTCCTCCTTCCTCTATGCATATGGTACACATACTAAGGAGGGCAGCTTCAATCATACAGACGTGACCCTCATGTCATAGTTCCGAGTAATGAACCCAGGGAAGTCAGGACTCTTGACACCTTGTGCAGGTTCAAGAAACCCTTTACTGAGTACATCATATCGGCACATAGAAGGTCAAAGCTAGCTCTAAATAGTTCCCATGCATGGGGATAGTTAAAAGAATAGGATTTTTCCACCCGCCCCTGTGTCTTTTAGGTCACATGGACCAATTAAGTCAGCCACAGATTCCTTCTCAGCTCCGACAGTTGTCCATTGACAGGACCCTGGTTCACATGTTGGCTGGTAGATGTTTTGAGTAGCGGCTGAGGCACCACTTTCCTAAGCTCCCCAATCCCTCCCCCCATGAATGGCAACCAACAAATGAAGGAGTAAGCCTGAAAAAGAATGGCTTCAGCTGAAGTCTTTTGCAGATTGACAGGCATCTCCCCCAATTTCCCCTTCACCTGATGCTCCCATGTGTATATGTTGTGCCTTTGAGTCAGTGTTGACTCCTTGTGACTTATCTCAACTAGTGAGGTGTTCTCTGAACTTGGTTGGTTTTTCTTGAAGACATTTCATTACCCAACTAGGTAACATCATCACTGCAACAGCAACAGATGTTACCATCTGCAAGAAAACAACCAAGCTCAGAGAGCATCCAGAAGCCCTCATTTCAAACCTGACATACAGATATTCTCATTGATTGGTATCTGAACTAATCCCTACAGTTTTCTTGACAAGATTATAGAAATCTTCCTTCCTTCCTTCCTTCCTTCCTTCCTTCCTTCCTTCCTTCCTTTCTTCCTCTTCCTTCCTTCCTTCCTCCCTCCCTCCCTCCCTCCCTCTTGAGAGGGAGCGACTGGCCCAAGGTTACTTATCTAGCTTTGTGCCTCAAGCATTACAACTCAAAGTTTCTGAATTTTCCTGATGCCCATGGAGGTGGCTGACAGTGTACTAGCTTGATTTTCTCCTGATAGGCTACTCTCAACAGCTAGTACAGATGGTACTATCCCTGATGGTAATTGGGACCAGGAACTCCCTCACTAAGCAACAAAGTCATAAGGCATGATGTCACATCACTGTGCTGATGGCACTCCCAGCAGTCCTAGTTGCCATAGTCACACAGTGCTGTAGTCATGTGATTGCCTTTAGTAACCTCCTGTCAGCTTCCCCATCAATTTTACTTGTTAGAAGCCAGCAGTAAAAGTTGCAAGTGACAGTCACATGACTGTAGGATGCCACAATGTTGTAATTGTGAGCTTATCACTGGGCACTTGAATTATGATCACATGGGGCGGTTGCAGTTATGAGGACCTGGCATAAGTACCCCTCATTTCATTGCTCTTGTAACTTCAAACATGCCAAGGAATTTTCAAGGGGGGAAAGAGTAATATTTGAAAAGATATATATGCGCAACATATATGTGAAGTTCCCACATCATGACAGAAGTGTAAATTATAAATAGATGCAACAAACAACCACACAAAAATCGGCTTTTGCGGTGTCCTTACTGGATTTCAGTGGCTGTGTTATTATTTTGCAGGTGATGTGCCAGTGGGTAGAAGATTTGAGAAAGGAGCTTTGTACATTTTGGCTCAATTCTTTTCCTGTATTTTTTAATTTTATGGAGGTCATTGTGGTTGGAGTTGTAGGAGCAACTTTAATAATAAAAGTACTAAAAGTGTTTTGTCCCTCATGTGAAGCCAGGTAAGCGCCTCTTATTTTTTTATCCTTAAAACAAATTTCCTTTGGTGATAAGAGGTTTCATATAATTTATTTATTCAGGCTAGGCTGGTTAAATTGATAAACAAAAACTAATCCACAAGGTTTATAGTCTGTTAAAGAACTAATGTACCTCACCTGAGGCCTTGATTTGATGACCTTATAAAAGCAATCAATTAAATGATAAATATTAATGGGAAATGATCCCCAGAGGATTCAAAAAAGTGAGGATGCTAAATGGATTTCTCTCGTATCTCCCCGCCCCCTTCCAGCAAGAGCTCTGCTTAGAGCATGCCCATTAAGTGGGAAGGGAAAGAAGGACACACCCGTTTGGTTCCTCCCCATCCCTCCGTAGCCCTACAAAAGCATCATCAGATAAAGACTGAAATGCTTTAGTGGACAGAATTGATTTTGATCTTCCAATAATTATAAACAGGAGCCATATACACAGCAACAGGCCATGCTCCATCGGTCTCATTTCTACCTTTTCAACATAATTGGCATTGGAAGAAATGAGGCTCAAAGTCAGACAGATCAGGTTATGGAGCCTCAGAAAAGCTCTGGAAGATTTATGGCAGATCATCCTGAAAGCTTTATCTGTATCTCCTGCTTGCTCAGACTTTGGGGTCAATTAGTCTTGCCCTCACGGTTTTGAAACCTCTAAGGAGTCCTGTCTGTGGAAGGCACATTCACAACCCCACCCACTCATATATTATCATAGAGAGGTGGGTCATGACTGCTTTCTTTAAAAAATACTTTGTGGCACGTACCAGATTGTTTGAAGTACTAATTTCTCATTGCAAAAAAAAGGATGAGGAAATAAATGAAGGAAAATCCTAGCACCAGTTCTCATAAATCGTTTAGATGAAAATGTTAGTTCTCTGAGAGTACTGATACTGGAAGAGACAGGTGAATGAAAATGTTTTTTTTCTAGATAGCATTCATCCTGAGAATTCTTTGAAACAAGATTTAATTACATCTTAATATTTGCAGTATATATAAGCCATTTTCAGAAACCAATGATCTGGTTTGAGAGGCTGAAACAATTTTCCTTAGTTGTTTTAACTATGAAGTTAAAATGTTTATATATGATCGTATTTCCGAAGTTGGTATTTAACTCATTTTTTCCTCCCTAGGGGAATCCTTCAACTTGATGCCAATGTCATACCCGTGGCTGCAATAAGTTTACTTCCAGCTACTCCAGAGAAGATAAACAACATAGAGGAGAAATGTATTTAAAAACACGAGTACTGTAATTATTTGAGTTTGTTGACCTAATGAACCTGGCACTTGGATCTTAATATATTACTTAATTCAGCCTTCCGAATGTACTGTCCTCTAGACTTTGAGACTACAACCCCCAGTATTCATAAATAATTGCAGTTCTGACATATCTAGAGGACTCTAGTTTGGGAACTGCTGATGTCACAGCAATTCTCAGCCTGCTATTTTTATTAAATTTATGAATGATTCATATTTAAAGGGCAGTTAAGGCTGACGTCCAGAATAATTTTTGGATTTTTTTTCATTTCAACCATTATAATTATTCTTGACTGGGAAAAAAGCAGTTTCCTTACCTAAGGACTTCAATAAGATCTGAGTTCTGTGAAGTAATTGCCTGATCCCTGAAATGATATCTTCCTTGTATCTTCCCAATATTGGCTGCAGGACACACAAGGCTAATCCAGGAAATTTGACTCAGACTAATGGAACTGATTAAGTAGCATCAACAGGAGCATAGACCTGTGACCATACTAAAAGCTATTTTAGGCCTTTAAGCGTGCCTTATGGGGGAAGTCAAAATCAAAACGATTTTCATACTGCTCTGACAGTAAACGGTGTAATTTTTGTTTGGATTTTTCAAAAATAATCTTCATATTGTAAGCACTTTCAGGGTCTTTCCTACTGAATTTATGAACATTTGTGAAAATGTACTTCTTAAACAGTTACAATACACACTACAAATGTCTTTTATCCAGGAGTACCAAATGTCTAAAAGTACTGTATAAATCCAGAGCATTTTTATATACCAATTTGTCAGATCATCAGATCTTATTGCAAATTTACATCTTGAGATAAACTGGAGACCATCTTTTTTCAAGTTTGAACAGGGAGCAAATCTGGATCTAGCCCATTGCATTGGCCAAGTATTCTTGTGTTCTAGTTGTAGATAAATATTAGGTAGGATCTTGTGGCTTCAACTGTCCATAATGTTTGGGTATGACTATATTACAAACTGTTTGAACTGAGTTTAAGTCACTGTTTCTCATTTATCAAAATCCATAATTGGTGTTTGAAAATGCTGCTGATCAGGAAATACTGTAGAGCTCATGTTTCCTTTCCTGTGTGTATGAACACTATGTTAATTGATGTTTGGTGAATGCTGAAATAAGGTGTTTCAAGTTGTTAGCACATTTGCTAAATGAGAGGCAGGGTTCGTTGAAGTTCATCACTCCAAAATGAAATTTACCTAGGACATTTTTTTCAGTTTTGCTGATTGTTACCAACACAGGCATTTATTTCATCAGCAATCAATAATATTGAAATAACATTGTAGGAGAACTCAAAGAAGCTGCACATCACCAAGAATAATGCAGTTGCTGCATCATACTATGCTGCCTTAGTGGTACATTTCAGTGGAAGACACCCCAAAAAGGCAAATGGCACTATTGTGCGCTTTGGAATTGAATAACTGAATTGTGGAAGCAATTATATCCAACTGCCTTAAAATTGTTATAGAAGACATCTCAGTTCAACCAATTGTTGATAGTCCCAATGGCAATATTGAAAAAGGTGAGCACAGAATGTCAAATAAAGGCTGTCATCCCTTCAGTTAAAAAAATGTGAAAGCTACTCAAACAGTTGATGTCACTGTTGAACCACTGCAGCCAGGCGGTGGTGATACATTAGATTGTATCTAATACTGAAATAGGAAATAATGGTGCCATATTTTTTTAAAAAAAGAGCCTTTTTCCTAGGGCTGAGAGAGATTGGCTCAGTCAACAGCTGGTTTTGCATCTAAGGCAGAACTAGAATCCATGGTTTCAAGCCCAGTGCCTTTAACCACTATATGAACCTCTGTGGCTTACCTATATATGTTCTGACAAGACCAAAATATTCACAACTAATGATTCTTGGGCAACCATCAACGTTGACAGAGCTCAGCTTGAGCAACATCCTAATTTAAATATCTAAGTCAAAAAAATTGTTTGCCACAGTTGGCATCAGTCATCAAATCAGCCAGACTGTCTCAGCCTTCAATGTGCAGATATGTTGCCCTGGTGAAAAAGCCAAAATGCAATTCATGTAATAGTGACAATGTTGTTGTAAATGGTGCAGAATCCTGCTTCAAACTAATTTCAATTTTTTTTTAAAGCTTTCCAAATGCCGTGCCTACCATTTCTATTATTGTATATTAGGGACTTCAGTCTATTGACAAAAGGTTACATGAAACAAATGCTGCAATCAGCCTATAATAGCGGATAAGGTTCTGGAGCATTGCATGTAATCATTTGGGCACATCTGTGTAACTTAATACCCACTTTCTTATTGACTACTCTGGAAATGATGCTGTTTATTGATTACTCTGGAAATGATCAAATACATGATCAGCTCTTAAACTTGGCTGGAATGTGGAAGTTCTAACAAAACTCAGACTCAATAAAAGTGAAACAGCTGGGCCAGAGCAAACAAATATGGAGAAATGTGCGGTGATCTCAATAAATACTGATTACTTAAGCTAAGTACTGATTAAGCTATAAATTACCAGATGGGAGTTCAGGACTTGAAGGAAGCAAGATGAGTAGTATAAAACTTTTCAAGTGAACATTCTGAGAAATTGAAAACTTCCAAAGCATTTTTTTTAAAAAAAATAGAATTAGTTGGGCAGGTGGTAGATCTACAGCTGGGGTTCACAACCTCTGGGCCATGGACTGTTACCAGTCTGTGGTCTGTTAGGAACTGGACTGCATAGCTGGAGGTGAGTGGTGGGCAAATGAGTAAAACCAAAACCACCACTCCCACTCCAGCCCATGGAAAAACTCTTTTCTCTGAAACTCGTCCCTAGTGCCAAAAAGGTTGGGGACTGCTGATCTACAGTACTTACTTCAAATGTCTTATTTTCTGTACGGGACATCTAGTTGCCCTTTAAGCAGTTTAAGTTTGAAAACAGCAGCTGACACTGTACTCTTGTGCAATTCCTGTTCAAATAAACCTATCGCTCTTTTGTCAAAGTCCCATTGATGGACTGACTTGCATATATTTGTTTGCTCTCTTTTTCAAGTCATCTACATTCTGGCAGTATTTTTTTCCTAGTTTATACTTCCAACCTCTACTCCTGTTTCTCTGACTGATTCCCAGTTTTAAGTTTTATGAGGTAAAGCTTACTTCTTTTCATTATTAAGAAAACAAACCTCCAAGGTATCTTTTCTTTGTGAGGACTTCCCAGTGTTAGTCATTGAGATCATGTTTCTGTTTTTGCAGCTGTACATATTTGAAACGAAGTAGAATATATAAGCTTCAAGTGACATAGTGCCATTTTTCTGAAAAATGACTTTTATCATTTTCTTGCCTCTGCCTTTTAGCCATGCTGGCACTCTTTTCATCTAGCTAATGCCTCTACCAAGCTGTGGTATTCTTTCTGTCCAAGTTCTCATTACTGGAAGATTAATGAAAAATAGTAATCTCAAAGAGATTTAAAATTCCTGCTTCTCCTGGTACAATTTTCCCTTAACAAATCTCTTGGAAACTTAATGGAATTTATTTTTTGCCAGTATTTTATTTACATTGGATCTAAGAATGCTTTTCTTAAATGATTGAACACTTAGGTTTCACTAAGAGATAAATCTAGTGCCCTCTCCTTTCTGTTCAGTTCCACCCCATTAAATGTGTGATATGTATTCAATCAGTGTTAAGTTCTAATTGGGAATTAGCTTTAAAATACTTGCTTTGTGATCTCTAAATATGACAAAAAGTGAAGCATTTACCTTTATAGAAAAAGAGGGGCAACTTTTTCCACGATAAAAGGACTGTAAAGATAAAAGGACTGTAAAGATATTTTTTTGCGGAGATAGCTATGTGTACTAATTGCCTGAAAAATGGAATTGTATATTTTAACAGTGACTACTTTTAAAAATATAACCAACCAAATGGAAATATGTATTATATGCAGAAATGTTGCAAGTAATAATCTAATGTGCCAAGAAACAGAACAAGTATGGGTGCAAGAACCTATTCTCATCTGGACAGCTAGACTAAGAGAGAAAAAATGAGCTGCACTTTAAAAAACCAACTTTACTATATATGGTTGTTACAAAAAGTTAAAAAATAGCACTGAGCACCCAGGTGTACTACTTTTTCATTACTTTTGGAACTCTTTTCAATACTTAAGGCAGATTTCTCAAAGGTAGAAAGGCTTAACATGATCCAAATTCAAAAATCCATTTCTCATATTTCTCAATGTCCGCAGCAGAGACTGATTTTGAAACTTTTTTTAAGGCCATTTCAAAATCTTCCATTGTTGTTGGCATGTGCATTTCATCTCTGGAAAGATTTCTGATTTCTTCTGGCGTCAAGCCTTCAATACGCCTTCTCATAGCCATCAGTGAAGCATCTCTGTTGATTAAAAAAAAAGTGTGCCTTTAATGAGAATGCAGAAATGCCAAATAATTAACACTAAAAAACTTGATTGCTTATTTATTTCTACTTTAAATCTACCCCGTCCAGAGTGGCTTACAGCATAAAAACAAGACAACGAACTCACAATTCAGATAACAACTTAGCAATAAACAGATGACAGGGCCAGGCAACACAATATCACATACAAAGACAAAGGCTTCCAATCACTTATCCCAAAGCCTGGGAAATTAAAACAAAAACAAAACAGATCCTTAAGCCTTCTGAAATGCCATAAAGGTAGAAACCTCTCAAGTTTCAGGGAACTTCATTCCCCTCATGGCAGGTACCATATGAGAGTTTAAAAGACAAATCAACTAAATTGTGAGTGGTTACTTTGACTTTTAGTAATACCATTGGAAATATTTGGATAACATGGTATGTAATAATGAGAAGATCCAGCTCTTTACACAAATCAGGTTCTTTAATGGCAAACATAAAGCATAGCTTCATCTTTTCAAATGCTGATTTTTGGCAAAAACATCGAATGACCACAGGATGCTGCAAATAGCCATAAATGTGGGTCGGTTGCTAAGCACCAAAATGTAGTTATGGGTGCTTTGGGTTCTAAATACATGGGGTGGGGGGGAGGTTTTCTGTTCTAAATCTGAATGGCTGCTATGCATCTGGCCATACCTGTATTTGAATCCAAAGCAAAGAAAGTGCACTATAGGAAGTATGGATGTACCCTCAAAATTCTTGAACTAAAACACTTATTTTCCCGGGGACTACATGGCTGCTGTATGAGTGTAGAAAAAATTAACTGGTTCTCTAAGAAGGCACCAACAAGCATACCTCTGATCCCTCTGCATGAGTTACTGCCCCAAGCAACAAATAGAAAGTTTGAGGAAGATGAAGATACAGCAATTTGAAGATACAATGAAAGTAATGGTATATTTTCAATATACAGAGTTGGATTTCTTGACCCCTATTTCTCTGTTCATCTTGATAAGAGTCACAAAGTGAAAAGAGCTGAAATGTAGAAGTTTGGATATGCAGAATCTATGATGAACTAGATGTTTTTCTCCAACCCTCATCATCATTAACCATTGATTGTATTACTAGCTGTGGTAAACAGCATCTAGGGGAGTCAAAGAGTTCTCATCCCAAAATAAAACTAAGGCAGTAAATTGAACAAGTTAGCAAAAATTGAGAGAAGCAGGAAGCAAAGTGAGAAAATAACTGAAATGGATAAGGAGATGAAATAATGATTCTGCACGGGAAAAGGAGGAAATAGAAGGGATAGAGAATTATAAATAATAAAATAGGCAATGTGGTTATATTTTTTAAAGTTAAGCAGAATATAATTTGTAGTGTGTAAAATGATGGGTTATCAAAAAAGATTAAAAAGTATATAAGTATCTTGAAAAAATGGGCAAAAAAGTAAAAAGAGACACAAAATGAGCAGCAATAACCCAAGGAGAAAGGAGTAGTAGTGGGAACACAAGCACTGAACCAAAGCCAGCCAGTATAGCAATCTTTAGGATCAGCTTCAAAACTTACATTGACATAAGGATAGGATGCTTTTCTTAGGTGATTTCCTTGCCAGGCAGCAAAATACCTTTATTGGTCCTGGCATATCATTTTACTACTCGGGATTAAGCCAATCTGTCCATACTAATGAAACTATAATAGCTTGAAGTAGAAAAAGGATCTCTAATTTGGCCTGTCGATATCATCACATTAAGTCATAATGTTATTTGATCACACTGGCTGGGAAATTCTGGGCTTTAAAGTCGATACATTTTAAAGTTGTCAGAATTGAGAAACACTGGCTTAGTATAACCTACACATAAACTGTTTCAGTATGGCTTTATCAATCAAAATCAAACAAGTTTTTTTTAAAAAAAATCTTATCCTTCTCTTTTTTTACTGCTTTCTTTAAATCTTTTACAGAACCAGTATTTGTACTGTAATGGGAGTCCTTTTCCATGATATAAGATTAGAGCTAGTTCCTTCAAAATAAAATATTAATAAAACAATAAAATAAAAATAATAAAAATAAAATAAAAGCTGTGCAGTTTTCACATACCTGCACACATTGGTAATGTCAGCTCCAGAATAACCTTCCATATTCTGTGCAATAGTGACAAGGTCAACATCAGCAGCAAGTTCCAACTCCTGTAGATTTATTCTGAGTAGCTCCTCTCTGCCTTTGGCTTAACAAAAAAAAGTAACCAAAATGAAGCACAGAGAAAAAGCATCCTTTCACCCTTGAATAACATGGTTAAAATTGTTTCAATTATATAATTCCTAATTTTAATTAAAATACCAACATCTTTAAACAGAACCACTTAGTTTGTTATCCTAGGATCTTAACCTGCTACTTAAGACTGTGCAGTTGAATGTAAATATTCATCATCAAAATCACTGTTCCTGCCTCCTAGAAATGGCAATGATCAAATATGCATTTGATATTAAAAATTCAGGATGTGCCAACTATATTGGATTTTTTTTTAAATGGAAGTTTATACCTGATGGCAAAGGAATATAAATTCTTTTTTCAAGGCGACGTCGTAATGCTTCATCAATATCCCATGGAAAATTAGTAGCAGCCAGTACCATCACCATTTTGGAAGGATCATCATTTTCAGAAGCACCTCCCACTCCTATTATTAGAAGATAGGAAAAAAATTAGAAAGCAGAACAAAATAATATATGTTCAAGTTTGCAAGTCAGAAAGTTATCATTACATTGAAGCTGAATTTTAATTACCCACTTTCATGGAAACAGGCTTGAATTTTAATTCAAATGCTTTATACTAACGAGTATTCAATTGCTGATAATTTACAATATTTGATATGTAGGTAATTACAGATACCATCCCTCTATTCAAGTGCAAATAAAACTACAAAGCTATTGCAAATTAAATCATCTAGGCAGACTAATGTCAAAATATTTGAGACATTCTGGTTTGTGGATTGGTTTTGTTTTTTGCTGGACAGATATCTCAATATATGCCTCTTACACATTTTATTTGCTCATACAATTTCTACCGCTGCCCATTTCAATCCAGTTGACTAGTTGCCAACTTTCTGCAAGTGTGATTTTACAAGAGAGAATTTGAAAAATCCATGTGTAGATTCTAATACGAGTGTCAACCAAGTTGCAGGTATTATTTCAAACATTTTTTAAAAAGGCAACCAAATTTGTTTACACAATCTGAAAATTTCTAATTTAACAAAT